ACTTCTTTTAATTTGAAGGACCGTTTGTATGATAAAACTTGGTTGTTCCGATTGTCTTTTATGGCGGATATCTTTCAAAAACTTAACGAATTAAATTTATCATTGCAAGGTAAACAGACAACAGTGTTTCAGGCCTATAATAAAATAACTACTTTTAAAAGAAAATTAGATTTTTGGATCATTTGCATTGGTAAGAAAGAAATAGAAAGTTTTACGTTACTCACTGAGTTTGTTAGCGAAAACGACTCAGAAATGTTTGAAGATAATGTGTTTGAAGAATTGGTCCAATATCTCAGTTCGATGCGCGCATCTTTTGAAAAGTATTTTCCCGAAGAACACAATACAAAAATTAAAGTGAACTCCTGGATTCATAATCCTTTTTTACCCAACTTGGAAAAGCCTGAAAACATGTCAAATGAGATATATGAATCTCTTTTAGAAATGTCATCAGACACAAGTATGGAGTCATTGTTCAAAACGACGCCTCTTAATGATTTTTGGTGCAGAATCCAAGATGAATATGCAATGCTTGGCCAAATGGCTCTGGATATTCTTCTCCCGTTCCCAACTACATATTTGTGCGAAACAGGATTCTCTACCTACGCAGCCACGAAAACAAAATATCGCAATAGACTGGACGCCGAAGCTGATATGAGACTCCAACTTTCTTCCATCAAACCTGATATCAAGCAATTGATGAAAAATAAAAAACAGTTTCATACCTCCCACTAGTTAGATTTTTTCTTTTTTAATGTTTTCTATTATTGTCCTTACCAAGTGGTGAAGTAAATAATAATTAGTAACGGATACATTGTACTTTTATTATGCTGATTAATATAGAATACACTTATAAAAATAATTGTTTTATTGTAGGGTTCCATCAAGTATTTTGCTTCCCAAAAGGGTTCCGTCATTTAAAAAGTTTGAGAACCACTGCTGTAGTCAATACTAAACCGCATAAGTGGAGCGAACTAAATCAGTCTCACATACGCTGTTCACAAATTGTGAAATTGGTAAGGTAAAACGTTCCCGCGCCATCGATATCGTTGTAATAAAGTGGCTCTCAGTGCCCCGGCTGATAGCCCCGGATAAATATTAACGCGGAAACGCTATAGGCACTGCATGAACATCCCTCTCACGACTACTGTGAAGAAAATACGAACTTTACGCGAGCAATTCCCAGCGAATGAAACTACGCGACGCGGTAATGCAAGCAGTAAAACCATTATTACCTGCATTCTACTTTCGCGGAGAGAACCTGTGAAAATGTATACCTGGAAAGAGATCTTATTCCCGATAGCATGTGGTTCAGTGTTGAACGAATATTAAGTTATACAACTGACGAAGTAGAGTTCCCATTATTGCTCACTTTCCAACTGATTTATTACAAGCTATTCGTCCGCAAGAACCGATAATTATTTGTCACTAGAAACATGTTGACCAATGTATTGAATTTTTTTACCACGTATGACGAAAATATGGAATAAATTGCCACCAGCACTATTTCCGGACCAATAAGACCCGAAAATCTTGGAAAAAAAGATCGTACTCCCTCCTTCCTTACACCATTAAGGTTTTATCGCATTTTGTGATACTTCTGGTGTTGTAGATGTCTATGGGCGACACGGTGATCATTTACCATCAGATGCAAGGGCGGATCCAAGGGGGGGGGGTCATGGGGGTCATGACCCCCCCCCCCCTGGGCTGGATCCATCTGTACCCACTTCACAATCTGTACCCACTTCACAATCTGTACCCACTTCACAATCTGTACTTCCAATCTGTACCCACTGTGACTTGATCACGACTATATGACCCCCCCCCCTGGCGCAAAAGCTGGATCCGCCCTTGATCAGATGAGCCTTCACCTCGTATGCCCCATTGCCTCATACTGATTTGTCAATATAGCGAATAGCACAGTTGTGGGATCTAACCTTTAGTCTTATTTTAAGTCGACTGTAAAATAAGTATAATAATAATATACAATAACCATTTCTTATAAGACAGAAGTGTTTATTCAGTTATATAATGAAGGTACCGTGATATCCGCAGGCCTCAAACTTCTTATGAGGTCTAGGGGTGCACTAAGAAAGGATTTTTCAGAATTTACCCCCAAAGGGTTTAAAGTTAAAGTTAGTATTAAAATCTTATTCCTTGAGATAATAGACTTCAACTATGCACGAACACTCAACGAAGTAAATTACAAAGTTTTTCATCTTTAGTTTTCCTAAAATACTCCTAAAGGTTGCCGAAGTTTTTATATGGATGAACTTTAACGCGCATTTCGATAAGTCTGAACTCAGTATTTATACTTGAGACCTCAAATAAAACTTATCATGTATCACGATTATTTGAAACTCTGTAATGCGGTAGTAAATAAATAAATAAATTTTACTGGAAAGTACACTCGTACAAATAAACTGGAAACTCTGATTTGATTTTCTCAAAAATATTAAAAGTTACAAGTATCAAAATTATTACTAAAGAAAGTGCGTTTCGTGGTGATTAAAAAAAGAAATAGAATTTATTGAGATTGATCAATTAATTATTTTTTTATTTAAAAACTCCAAAGAAGCATCGTTTTCCAATTGTGGTATTCGGAAGTAACGAACGAAGCCAAAATACTCACGCCTGAGAAAGAACTATGGAGAAAAACTAAGGAAATGAGAAATATCAGATTGTCTTCATTTTATAAAAAAGAACGATGAATCGTTACTTAATTAAAAAAATGGGTGCGTGTACTTATGTAGGCGCGTGAGAAGTTATCCTTCTTTGGCATCGTTTAAAATTATTTTTTAATTGCATGCAAATAATTAATTACAATAAATTAATAAAAAGTCTGGAAAAGGACACAGTCAATAAAGTTCAGTTTTAATTTGAAAAAATAAATAAATAATCAAAATATTCAATTAAAATCGCTACTGAATATAATTTATTAGAACATATGTGATTTGCACTTGTATGAAACTCAAACACGTATTCCGAATATACAAACTAGAAACATGTGGATAAATATTATAAATATGAATACCTATAACTGTTACTTTATTACAAAAAATAAAGATGTGGTTTTTGGTTCTACTACACCAATGGTCAAGAGATGGCGCTGTAGTCTCCTGAATCGCGCTTTGGTTCCGTTGTTCCAGATTAATAAATACTTTTGATATTATAAACATGAATACCTATAACTGTTACTTTATTATAAAAAATAAAGATGTGGTTTTTGGTTCTACTACACCAATGGTCAAGAGATGGCGCTGTAGTCTCCTGAATCGCGCTTTGGTTCCGTTGTTCCAGATTAATAAATACTTTTGATAGGCCTTCACAATGCAGTCGTTAGCACCCACTAAATAGAGATTCTATTTCTATTTAGTTTTGTGTTACAGTGATGCGCGCGCATCTTAAAATTTCACTCTCATCATTTTTTCATAACACGCCTAAAGAAGTATAACTTCAATAAAGATGTGGTTTTTGGTTCTACTACACCATTGGTGTAGTAGAACCAAATCATCTCCATCTCTACACTACAGCGCCATCTCTTGACCATTGGGCCAAGAGATGGCGCTGTAGTCTCCTGAATCGCGCTTTGGTTCCATTGTTCCAGATTAATAAATACTTTTGATAGGCCTTCACAATGCAGTCGTTAGCACCCACTAAATAGAGATTCTATTTCTATTTTGTTGGTAGATTTTCTTAATGTGCGGTAAACACAAAAGTAACGCATGAAGTTGGTCGCTTTAGCGACCAACTTCATGCTGTTAAAATTTTGTGTTACAGTGATGCGCGCGCATCTTAAAATTTCACTCTCATCATTTTTTCATAACGCGCCTAAAGAAGTATAACTTCAAAAAATATCAAATTGTTAGCTTGCTCGATTACAAAGTAAGTTGATAGTACTTGAGAATAAATTTTTACTCATATTAATAATTATAAAACATACCTTCTGTAGCTATAGCTTTAACATTTGTAAGTTTTATACTTTTTGAAAAAATCTAATTAGAGTTCCAAGGTACTAGCGGTTGGCCCAGTCTATTTGCAGTCGAGTGTATTTTACGGCTTGATTCAATAGGAAAACGGCTTAGAGAGCATGGATTACGTTGACGAAGTCGCGGGCGACCGCTAGTAAATTTTATTAATTTATCTACAACATATTCTTTTCATTACAGGTTGTTCTTTATTATTTTTGATATAAACGGAGCATGAACGGAAGCTAATGAACTAACACAACTCAATGTCAAAACGTTGAGATGAATTCAGATGACTTACTATTAATTAATTTACCTAATACAAAGACCAAAGAAACCGCACCTTTGTCATTCGCAAGGAATACATAATAATTGTTGAGAAATATTAAGCCTTACGCCCGCCTAACATTTCAATCAATCGATTTTTTTCTACAATATCGCAACTAAAAGTGTGTCAGACTCTCATTCACACTCGGAATGGGTGCTCATAAAATTAGCAGAATCCCACGAGAAATAGCAACTTTTCTTGAATTTCCAAAACCTTTTGGCCGATTCAGGAGCTGGCTGATCTCCTGTCCCTTAAGCGCCATGGAGGCTTTCCATTGCGGAGCCTCAGTCACAACCTTAGCTGACCCTTCTAAATCAAAAATGAGCCGTTACAAAACACCTCACCATCACCCTCTATCAAAAACATTGACGTTACAAAAATGTTACGTTTTGGAGTAAAGCGGGCTCCACATAAGCAAAGAAAGCCGATAAGCAAAAGTAACATACATGACTGTATAAATATACAGTCATGTATATTTATACATTTATATCGGGCGAGTTCTGGCTTATAGACAATGTATCCATTGCCAATAAATAAATAAAAAGTCAAATTGACAATGACAACGTAATGTCAGACACATGAACGACACATCCTTTACTCAAAAAACTATCAAAAAATCTGAGGGAAATAAAAACTGTGTTAAAAGAATTATAATTTACAGTGAAATTTAGTAAGTAAAATATTAATCCCTTCTAGCCTCACTTCCCTAGAAGATTGGAACTTTATCAACTTCAGAGAGGTTAGTAACGTTCGTGATGTTTTTTGCACACATTATTTTCATATTTTAAATGACTTTGACCCCTTTTCGCGTGTTTTTTCGTAGAATGAGTTTAAAAACCAGTGCTTTATTGGTTCCTGTGGGTGTCCGTGGCATGAAGATTTTGGATAAAGCCAAGTTCTTGCGTAATGTCCAAGTTCCAGTATTAAAAGTGGCTGAGCAGAGTTTAGCTAAAGTTACTCACCACTGCAGGCCTTATTTTCTAAAACTTGAGAATTTCAAGCCTGTACAAAATTTGGAAGACGAACTATTCAAAAAATGTGTATACTTGAATCCAGAAAAGGTTACAAAATGGGATGACTTGAGTTCTATCCATGAAGCACTGCAAGAATATGAATGTACTGAAAAGAACTACACTACAAAAACAATGCAGTTTGGCTATAATAACTTCAGCTTTGAGAGCATATTCAAAGCTGTTCTTCCGGAAGGTGAAGAAATTGTCAGCAGTTACTCTTTGATCGGCCACATAGTCCACCTCAATCTTCGCGATCATCTCATTGAATACCGTCAGCTAATTGGACAGGTGTTACTAGATAAAATAAAAACTTGCCGTACGGTAGTAAACAAAAGCAATATAATAGATAACACATTCCGGAACTTCAGCATGGAAGTTATAGCTGGAGAGGAAGACTTTTGTGTAACTGTGAAAGAGAACCGTTGCACATTTCAATTTGACTTTTCAAAAGTGTACTGGAATCCACGTCTTGGTAAAGAACATGAAAGAATACTGAGTTTTCTGAAACCTGGTGATGTTCTCTTTGATGTATTCTGCGGTGTAGGACCATTTGCAATACCAGCAGCTAAACATAAGTGTAAAGTGTTTGCTAATGACCTAAATCCTGATTCTTATAAATGGCTAAATCACAGTGCTAAAAAAAACAAAGTCAATAAGATGTTCTTCAAATCGTACAATCAAGATGGCAAAGACTTTATTAGTGAAGTGTTTAGAGATTATTTAGTGAATGTTTGTAAAGGTAATGAGAAGATTCTTGGTGAAAAAATTCATATAACAATGAACTTGCCAGCAAAGGCTGTAGAATTTTTAAAATACTTTAGAGGCATTTTTAAAGACTATAAATTGTATATTGATAAGTTGAATTGTGAAATTCTTGTTTATGTGTATTGCTTTGCATTTGGTGATGATCCTGTTTTAGAGGCAAAAAATATTGTAAATAAAAATATGGGTCTTAACATGTCTCCATATATTTTAGACATATTTGATGTAAGAAATGTTTCCCCTAAAAAAGAAATGATGAGAGTGACTTTTAAACTTCCAAAAGAAATTATGTTAGATGTGACAACAGGATATAAAGAGACAGACATAGAACCGCCCCCTAAAAAACAATGTATTGATAAGAATTGAAGTAGGTAGATCTGATTTAATTTTGAATTATTCAAAATAAATTATAACAGTTCTACTCACAGTTTTACTTTTTTATTTACAATATGTACTTATAAAAAAATATTATGTATATAATTCCATTATACAATAAATGGTCATCATATTTACTAATAACTTGCATTTGTATTAGTTTTATGCCCTACCATGTAGAGTAAATTATTTTTTTAGTTTTTATTGGCAATGTTATTCATTCTTACCTTGATGATGATATTTGATTTTCCACCTCATATAACAAATAAATAAAATAAAATAAGCCTTTACTCACACTGACTTGTTACATTTACTTAAATTATTAATGTAATTGCTCTTTGGCAAAGGCATTCCACCTCATATAGTACAATCATTTGGTGAGAAATATAGTGGTTACCTGGAAAGTTCTCCGGGAGTTTTGAAAATTGGTAATTTTATAAATTTTGAGGTGCTCTTTTCGAATTTCGACTTTGCTACCTCGTATTTTTGGCGCTCGCGCCGCCATATTGGAAAAATGGCGCCTAAATGCAGTTTTTTGACAATATCTCCTTTGCGCCGGAAAGAGGACCTCAAAATCTATAAAATTACCAATTTTCAAAACTCCCGGAAAACTTTCCAGGTCTTCTTTATTAAGTTAAAGTCTATTGGCATAGCCTTCATTGATGAACTACAACCAAGTTGTTTTTTTTATATATAAATAGATCAAACAAATGTTCACCCCACCTCATGTTAAGTAACGGTGGATTCCAGTCGAGATGTGAAGAAGGTCTTCAGTCGAGAAGGTATAGCAATTTACCTGCCACACCAGACATCTGCACCTTGTCGGCCTGCACATTGCTTCTTCACGCCTATTTTAAAGGATTCCGGGTTGTAGGAGCAAAGCTTTCCATTTGCGAATAGTGCGACAAAGAAATGAGTCACCAAATTTCTTTGTTCGCGTTAGTATAGTGGCCACAGTAAGTCTGGGACAAAGTCGGCCAGCGCGCGTAGTCCTCTGATAAAAAGTGGAAGGTGGGGTAAGGGAGAATAATTACCCCGGGACACTCGCCATGGTATGGATAAACGATAGAACGCGCTTAATGACGCCACATCTCGGCCTATTGAATAGGCTCGAGATGTTTAGTTACCTCCTCATCTTCAATGATGCGGATCGCACGCTTCTGTAACCTATAGGTCCGAGTAGTACTCCACGCAGGACCTCACTTCAGTCTTGTCCAACAAGCACAGTTGATTGGGCTTGAAAAAACATCGCACCTTGTTCAAAACTCTTGAGTTTTTGTGAAGCTGTTTTGATTACGGTTTCGATGAAGTCCTTTGGATTCAGGTCTGAGCAAACTTACATATCAATAATGGTGATATTGCTCTGTAGCGCCCATGTTGAGCCCTGAAGAGAAAAGGGGGGAAAAGGCGACGGTTTGCCATGAAAGCGCAAGCCTATAGGTTTCATTAGCATTGAACTCAACCAAGTTCCTGGTACCCCATTAGAAAATACGGTCGAAACCAAACCCTGATTAAGTTCAAAGACAAGATCGCGTTAAAGTTTTTTAATAAACTGTCATTTCATACGAGGACCATTTTAAAGATTCCAATGAAACTTTATAGGTACACATCCAGTTCAGACCAGCCATTTAGAAATTGTGGTGGAATGAAGAAACATTCATTATGCACCTCTTTATTTTTATATCCACATAGACGCAGGTCGACCAGCAGTTAACATATTTTAAAAATACATTATAATTTGTAACAGAAATAGAAATCCGACAAGCAGCTTGTTTTTAGTAATAGCGTGACTGAAACATCTTAATTACCTGGATTAAATCGGAAATTCCAATTTACCTTTATCGGTTTCACTGAATTATATTATTTAACACACTGAAAAGCAACTCAGTACCTATATCGCAAATAAACGCATTTATAGCTTTACCGTTAACAGGGCCAAATTTAAGGCGGGGTTGTGGCCGAGGGGCCCCCACAACATAGATAATAAAAAAATATGACAAAACAACAATGCAAATCGTAAGGTGCCCGGCCTAGATTCCCCCACACCTCTTAATCCCCCCGGAGGTGAGATAGGGCAATCTTTATCTGACGACTGACGACCTCCGTGGTCGAGTGGTTTGTACGCCGGGTTTCATGGTGTTGCCGACTCGAGAGGTCCCGGGTTCGAGTCCCGGTGGGGGCAGATGTTTGTGTGATGAATACGAGCATTTGAACTCCAGTCATGGATGTTTAATATGTATTTTCTATAAAAATATACTTATATATGTACAGTTTATGTATTCTATCCGTTACCCTAGCATCCCATAACACAAGCCTTATAGTGCTTACTTTGGGGCTAGGCTAATTGGTGTGAGTGTCGGAAATATTTATTATTATTTATTTTATTTATTATTTTATCGGGATTACTATGGCTATCGATATCGCTTACGATTTCATTTTATTTTTGCTGCCATATTTGAAAACCGCCGAAGGTTTTCAACTACCTCAAGTTCATTTTCTTTGATATTGTTATAACCAATGCAAAATAAAAGAGGGCGTGGCATTTTCTAAGTGCTGTATTCTTGTGATACCTTTGCTAAAATTTCATGGTGTAGCAAATAGAGTTCAGACTGGTATGGCAAGTATATTGGCGCCATTTTCGCATAAAGATTCAACTCACTTTACCACCAGGCGAGGTGGAATAAATATAATGAGTTTCTTTACAAAAATACATCGATGGTACTGATTTTGTCAGCATAGCACATATTGTTAGTTATGTTCTAAACCTACCAACTACTAGGATACAGCAGTAATAACGGATCACGTGCTTATTAGAAGCACCATAAAAGACAACGGAACAGTTGTCCGTCCATCCAGTTCTTGATTTCAACGAGCAGTGCATCTCATGAACCGGGTATAACTGTAGAGAGTTGAGATTCCCATAGAATGTTTAATAATATAATTAATGGGGGTAGATTTCGTCTACCTACAAATAAATCTTAATTCTAAATCAATCAAAGTTTTAACCCAACCCAAGCCCTTTCAGCGTTCGTCGATAATAACTATATGACGGGTGCGACGAAATAAAGATATTATTACTTCTTTAGCAGTTTTTGTACCTAGCTGTTTTAATGTTCGGTATTTTACGATAGTAATGCAAATTACTGTTTATCGCTGCTGTTACATTACGTGTATTCGCTGTTTGTTCCAGCAGAGTTCAGTAACGACCATGCCGCAGCCACGACACGACCAACTGGAACACTCTGACTACAGCGGCGTCTTGCAAGAAGCTGAGCAGGTTATATTTTTATTTGACTGACCTCTACACCCTAGAATCGGATATTCGTTTTTTTTTATTGCTTACTAGCTATTGACGTATAAACAAGAAGACTCACAGACGCGCTCAAAAAGTGTCGGAAGCAAAATTACGCACACGCATCTATTATGCGTAATTTTCAAATAGTCGTGTAATATCGAGCAAACAGCAGCAAAAAATGAGGTTTGTTGTATGGGAGCTCGATCCTCACTTATTTTTTTTTTTTATTTGTTGTTTTAGCGGCAACAAAAATAGTTACATCATCTGTGAAATTTAAGTTGCAGATATCAGGATTCATGAGATACAGCCTGGTAACAGACAGACAGTGGAGTCTTAGTAATAGGTTCCCGTTTTACCTTTAAGTACGGTATCCTGAAAAGGTGCATGAAATCGCTATTCTCAAGACGTTCTCAAGTTATAGCGTGGCCAACAGAAATTGGGATTATTTTGAGGGGTTCCGCAGTCCTGACAAGGAACTCTTATAGTTTCGTCATGTCCGTCTGTCGTCCCTGGTTTGGCTTGGAGACTAGAGAGTTATTAGCACTAGAGAGTTGTAATTTTGTGAAGATATATGTATATCGATCACGCCGACAAAATGGTATAACATTTTGAAAAATATTTTTTTTAGGGTAGCTCAGCTACATGTTACCTGGGTATGATTATTTTTTCATCATATACCACATCGTGTGCGATATTGTTGAGTAGTTTCTTTAAAACTACTTCGTAGTTCCTAAGACTTTTTTTCGATTTAAGGATCCGTTTTCGCAATATTGAACTTTAAAGTGCTAATTTTTGATCGAGTAGGGCGTCGTCGTCGTCGTCCCTCTAAAGCTAAACTATTGGCTTGAAAAGCCTGAAACAATTCATGATAATAGAGTACTTTTCATGATCTTTTAAGTAAAACTATAACGGTTAAGATAGATTATTTATTAATTTAAGAGTAATTAGTCGTTAAACTTTGGTTAAAGAAAATTTCTTACCTATTGAAAATTTCCTAGAAGAAAACATTAACAGTGACATAGATGAAGTAATTGTAACGTAAAACCTTATATTGCAACAAAATCTAAAATAAATTATTTAAAAACCACAATAAAATATCATTATTTCCACAACGCTGCCGCGAGTACCAACGACAACGCGATATCGTAAGTACGCTACGCTACGTTTTTATAAAAAGTATATAAGCACTTGAACTGATCGGTGGTTATACCGCATCATCCCCTTCTCAGGGGAAGTTCGCTTCAGATGAAGCTTTTTCTCTCCGGATCTCATGGGGATAGGAAAGACGTAAAACAATCTCTGGCACCGCAAGCATCTATCTATATTCTATAAGCTATGGTTTTCGCTAATCATTAGAAGGCCGTAATGCTATTTTACGTAAAAAGAAAGACATTATATTAAAATGAATCAACAATTTATTTTCAGGTCATCAAACAATGTTTTAAGCAGTTTAGCTTAGAGGAAGTATTTCTATCGTTCAACGGAGGCAAAGACTGCACAGTCCTTCTAGATGTGACAATGAAGGTCTTGCTAGAAAATCATAGAAAAGAAGATGTGCAGAACAAATTCAAAGTAGTTTATATTAGGAATAACCAACCATTCAGAGAAATAGAAGATTTCGTCAAAGAAATACAGGCACATTACGGGATAACGCTGAGTGTAGCAGAAGGAGAACTAAAGAGCACGCTAAAGAATATTCTAGAACGCGATGGGACCCTGAAAGCCTGCCTGATGGGCACCAGAAGAACAGACCCTTACAGCAAAGATCTCAATTTTATGCAGGTATTTGTTTTAAATGGGATAAATTTGGTGGTCAAATTACTTGTTAAAAATGTTTAGCTACCCATCAAAAGTGCCTAGAAAGTATTTTTTTAGACAAAGGTAAACAAACACCTCTTAATTCCCACGCAATGAATCACTAAATGGATTTCTCAACACATTAATTGGGATTCCTAGGGGTTTGGCATAATAATTCACAAATCTTTTATAGCACTTATTTCTTTATTAATTTATGGAAAATCATAAATAAAAACTCGAGTCGAAAAGTATGGTTATTTTGGCAGACGGGAATTGTGTTGTGTTGTGTGTTGCGTCGGGACGATCAAATCGAACTGAACGCGTAGTTATAATGCGTAACTTGACCCCTAGACACTTGATGTGTGTGGTTCATTAAGGAGTGGCATTTCAACCCTGAACTGCAATCGCATGCAAAAAATGCATTGAAAGCAAGCTGCGTCGCGCACATAGAAGCTGTTAATGTCGCTAAATATTTTTGACCTATAGCTCAAAGCCATCGGCCTATACGGAGCTCTTGAAACTTACACGACAACACCAAAATAGTCAAGTATTGTTACATTGTGGTCTTCTATTATTGGATACATTATATCACATTTATTTTTTATTGTCAGAAAACGGATTCGAACTGGCCTCAGCTGATCCGCGTGTCCCCGCTACTGAACTGGTCCTATCACCAAATATGGAGTTACATCATTCGACAAAAAGTGCCTTACTGCAGCCTGTACGATAAAGGGTAATTAATACATGTTTATATTTTAACATAAATCTTGCCCAATCTATCCAAATAATATCCACAGATGTCCTATAATTATGGGTAGGTATTTTACAAAAAATACTAGGAAAATCAACTTTGGTCTCGCTATAGAAGTGACTAAGTTACACGAGACTGTCAAATCGAATTACTAATTTCGCAACACGTCGAGTAACCACTAACTGAAAAAAAAACTGTCTATAGATAGTGAATCTTATAACAAAAGGCATAAAGCTCAAAACCAGTCGTAGAAAATTGACAGATATGCCCCAAGAGGGCCATGGTCCGGGGCGGCATAGTTCCAAATACTGTTTTCGGGCAACTTGACCTGTGGCTGCCTGTAAAAAAGAAATTGTGTGCACAGGCCACACATCTGTAGTTAAACTTCTCAACTTAAAGAACCTCATATGTATATATATATATATAAGATATAGGGGAATTAAATATGCTTACTTTGGGACCACATAATTGTTGTAATTTTTAATTTATCAATGAAATTATCAACGAACCAATTAATGCAGGTACACATCGATAGGGAGTTCACACAACACTTGGCCAAACCCGGCGCTCGCGTACAAAGACCACAGCGGTGTTATCTCGTACCGACCAGCGTGGCAGCTATCCGACGCGTTCTTAGAACGAGCCGGTAGAACCAAGCCCTCTAGCAAAACCACCAATGGACACGCAACCAACGGAGAGAACGGACACTCTCATAGTAATAGTAGTAATGGGGACGCGCTCTAATAGTTAATTTGTGAACAGTGAATTGTGATGTTCTTATGTATCGCTCTGTGATCGACTCCGATGCCAGCACTTCACTTTGCTATTCGTGTTCGCTATTTGTAAACTTGACATTAGTCTGTCCTTATCATGCTGTACAAGGAGTAACAAGGACAGGGTGATGTCAACTTTACAAATAGCAAACACGAATAGTCAAGTAAAGTATCGGCGTGGAGTGAATTCCGTAGTTTTAATATCAAAACGTAAATTATATTTAATACGAGAAATAAAATAGCTCAATCTCAACAATACTGCGTGGATCCTGTTATTTCCATGGTAATATAAAGTCAACATTTTTATCAGTGCATACTTAATTTCCATTACATTGCGTCCCAAAGTCGAAATTCACCTAATGTAAATTTAAACACTGTTAATCAAAATAAATAGTAGGATGGCTACCTTCTTTTAAGTATGGCATGACAAAGGGTGAATTCCGAAACATACACCGGTACCCTGGCCAGCGGTAATGACGTCATGAATCGACGCCATGCTGTTGATTCGTTCTAAATACACTGATCAGCGGGGTGACGTCATAAACTGGCGCTATATTCAACTCCAAAAAAATAAATTTTATTTTAACTGAATTATTAGTATAATAATGGTGTCAATTCTAGCATGATTCTCTAAACCTAAACTTAAATTTGACAGCAGTATATCCTTGTCATTCTCTATACAGAATGAAAAGGAGAGACTGATTTTAAATTTAATTTTAAGTTTAGAGAATCACGCCAGAATTGGCACCAATGCTAACTTAATTATGAAAATAAAGTAAAAGTATTATATTAATAATAATAATATAGTATAGTAGTATTCTCACCGGCATAATATGGCGGCACACCATTGCAATATGGCATCGAAATCATGATGTCATTACCGCTGGCCAGCGTACTGGTGTATATTTCGAAATACACCCTAAGTTTCTGATCAAAGAGGGAAGTTTCCTTTAATCCATACCTCTCTATGGTAAAAGAAGCTTCGTTGTCTAGAGACATACGCTTTCGTATTATATTGTTTTAAACTTTCATTGACACTAAGATTATAGTAATATAAGTTATTTACGAAATTGTTACCATGTACCTTGTTTTAGCGAGTTTCCGATATTTCGGCACTGTTGCAAGCGCCATGATCACGGAGTAGTGTTTAGAGATAACAAATCAGGGTAAAGCTAGGCAAAACATAGCGATATTAGCATAGCTACTTAAATTGTAAAATGTACTTATATTTCTTGTGAAAATCATTATTTTTAATGAAAGGAATTTATTGAGAACAATTTGTTGAAGAAATAAATAAATGATTGAGCATGTTCGCAACTGAACTTCAAGACCTAGTAAGGGAAATTACAAATATTGGTTTAATGCATAATCTTACTAGTTTAATAAACGTTCTTCAGAGAAATTCTGTTTTCAATCTTTACTAACATTAGTGGAGTAACTTGCTAAACAAAAAATTGCCAGTTTTAGTATAGATTCTATTTTAAAATTGTAAATAGAAAAATAATAAGAGCATACTTAAATATACCTACCTCGACTTATCAATGCATATATAGCTCCTTTGTTTTTACTTACCTACTTAATTTTAGACAATTTAGTGAGTAATCTCAAATAAATCACTATATTTATTTTAGTTATTATTTGGCAGGGCAATTTTAAGCCCCTAACTTTAAATTGTTCCATTTGTACAAACAACCACAGAAGTTATCCAAAACCGTCCCATTGAGCTTCATAATGCTTTCTAAATGGGTTCAGAATCTATTGAGAATCTTTCGACAGATTTTGGTAACTTAATGTGTGGCTGTCTGTATAACATTTAAAGCTTTAAAACAAAAGAGCGGCTTAAGTTCAATACATTGAAGTATAAAATGTATACAATTGAGAATTTTCAAACACGACTGTTTAAAAATTACACATAATAGACGAATGTGCGTTATTTCGCTTCTGACACTTTTTCAGCGTGGTTGTGAATACATACTTGTTTTGATATGTCAATGTTTTAATATTAATTATTTATTAACTGACATAAAACAATTAAATTATTAAAATCACAACATAATTGTAACAAACGATGTAACTTAGTATATTAAATTGTTTGAAGTTATTTATTACATAATTAATTTACGAATTATAATTCATTTGAAATAAAATACACAATTTAATATGGTTCTAGAAAAATAAACAAGTTTTTTTATCCCACTTGTTTGTACAACATTTCTGTTAAGCAATAATAATAATAATAATTTCTATACTATCTACCTGTGTCAGCAGTCATATTGTACCGCCAGTAAAGAATTCCTATCTGTAGTCAGACTAGTAGGCTCTTTGATTTATATATACCCTAGATACCGAATTAACTGCACGGAAGCGGCACAAAAACTATCTACAAGTTAAGCTCATCGCTCAACGATATTAAATACCCGGTATACAACATCACGAACAAAATCATGTCCGAAACCTATCCAAAAGGTACATTGGACGACCGCTTTGTCAAAAACAATATAAAGCATTATTTAAACATTAAAAGTCACCTTTATTGCATACTGTATACGGTCTTAATTAAAAAGCATGCGTCAAAGAGTTATGACAGTTCGAAATGCAAGCTCGTAAAATTTAACAACTTATTGCTATATTATTATGCGGAAGAATTTTAAACCTTATTTCTTTGACTCTACACACAATTCTGAATGCGCTGTTAGCAATATAGCCGGTACGGGCCGCGAGGAAAAAAGATGCCTATATAACCGACCATGCATTTGAATATCACAAATATTTTCTATTAAATCAATTTATAGTAAGTATTAGAATAAAATTTGCTTCAAATGCATTAAATTAACAGATAGATACCTGTCGAAAAAAGGACACATAAACTATAAATTTATTTATTTTGCATAATTTCACGGAGCTCTGCGCTATCTTGACTTTTCTACGGTCCGCGTGTGACTGTGAACCAAGAAGTGCTTAAGTGGAGTACAAGCACTTCATTATTGGGACACATTTTAAGCGCACGTGGTGTAACTAGGGTATTTAATAACGTCATCGCTACACATGTACACATTGACTGCTTTCACACAATCTGACATTAAATTGTTTCTTGTTCAATACATGAGCCGTTTTCTTTGCGAAACTTATTTGGATTGCTCTATCTAGGCATATAAATAAATCAAAATATTATTCTATTCCTGGTTTAGTAATGTTGATATTCTTTAGTTAAACAATTCCTGAGCTTATCTCATAGTAAGGGAGACTGCCCCAATCATCAAATTCTATTTGATAATTTTGAATAAAGCTTTAAAAACAATTGTGTTATGTTTTTATTTATTTTTAAGCATTTAACTGCTAGATGTTTAAATCTAAAGAAAAGTTTACTAGAAAAAAAATCCACGCGGACCAGGCAGCGGACGGGACTCGAACCCGCACCCTTCGCAATCCGGGCGAATGCACTGACCATTATGCTACCACGGCCCTATTTGCCGCGTCGAAATTTTCCTAGCCTTAAGCTGCAAGGCAGCGCCATCTCTTCGCATTGTAGGGAACCCACAATGTCAAATGAATACTTTTTTTTCTAGTAAACTTTTCTTTAGATTTAAATAATTGTGTTGCCTATATTGAAAATGTACACATTTTGTATTTATATTATACCTTTTTTACTTAAATAACAAGATTTTTTATCAGCACCCAGTTTAAATAAAAAACTCCTCACCATATTTATTGTTTTATTTTAAAGCTACTATTTACATTTGCGAGCGCAGCGCGGCAATGGTAGTTTTTAGCTCACGTGGTGTTGCCAGTGTTATTGGGTTTCACGTGTTTCCTGATGAAGTCTTGGAACATGGCTACGTCCTCGGGTTTGTCGTCTGTGAAATCAAAATTCTCTTTTTACTTTCTCGTACAAAGTACTTAACTTTTTAAAGAAAGCAAAAGAAGAAGTATTAATTTAATAAAGTCATTTTTAATTTTGAAGTTAGCTCTTATTAGTAATCTCTATTTTTATCTCTATATATCTCGTAGTAACGTTATTTATTTTCCCCCCCACATAACACAAAAATAAAGTATTTCTATTCGTTACCCTAGTATCCCATAACACATGCCTTACAGTGCTTTGTGGCTAGGCTAATTGGTGCGTGTTAGAAAACTTCCGTCCTAACTTTTATAAGTGAGATTGTTCGTTTGTTACGCTTTCACGGAAAAACTACTGAACGATTTGGATGAAATTTGGTGCGCATATAGTTTATGACCTGGATTGAGACATAGGATACTTTTTATTCCGGAAAAGTGTTGGGTACCTACGGGATTTCGAAAAAACTAAAGTTAACGCGGACGAAGTCGCGGGCGGCCGCTAGTTATTTAATATAGTCGGTCACATGGTAGAGCCAAGTGAGTCATAATGCTCGTTTACTACGCTTTAATATCCTACTAATATTATAAACATGAAAGTTTGTATGTTTGATCTTCAACCAATCACACCAAAACTACTGAACAGATTTGGATGACATTTGGTACGCATATAGTTTACGACCCGGATTGAGACATAGGATACTTTTTATCCCGGAAAAATGCAAGGTTCTTGTAGGATTCCGAAAAAACTAATGTACATCTATATGTATATATAAAAATCAATTGCTGTTCGTTACTCTCGCTAAAACTCGAGAACGGCTGGGTCGATTTAGCTGATTTTGACATATTTGTCGTAGTCCAGGGAAGATTAAAACGGTGAGAAAATATGGGAAAATTGCGAGGTAGATAAAAACTGGTTGTAAAAAAGACAATTAAATTTTCCCATATAAACTGTTCTATCTTCTTTCCTGTCAAACATTTGACGTTCGTCCCTTTTTGTACGGTAGACTCGGGTCCGTAATTTCTTTCAAATTATTTTAACAACTAGTAAGAAATAAAAAAGGCAGACCAATTTCCGCGGGTGCCTCTTCCCCCTCCTCGTCGCTGGAGCTCTCGTTGGCGGGGTGCTTCAAATACACGTCGCTGATCTCCCGGCCGACACCCACTGATTCAATCAACGAATTCTTGTCTAACACGGTGTCTGTGTCCTCTGGTAAACACATAGAATACTTAACTATAATTGTAATGAAAGAAATGTCAGCTACAAAACTATACTCTAATCAACTTCCTCTGAGATTTTATACGCATATAAAATTATAATAAAAAAGTGATATAGACCTAAAACTGTAGCCGTTTCCAAACTTTAAACGCATTACGGCGCATTAGGCGGCGTAAAGCGTGGGCGACGTGGGCCACCGCCTACGGCCTAGAGGTACAAGGGGCCTCGCGCCTGAAATTTTTTTATGCATTGCTTAAAAGCGATTTTTTTTATTATTTTATAAAATCCGTCTTCAGGTCCCCACAGAACAGGGCCTCGCGAAATCTGTCTTGCCCACATCAAATTTAGATCTTGCCCCGCCACTGCTGCACAGGCATTCCCTATGGATGGAATAGAGAGATTTGGGTATGACCCACAACGCGAGCCCAGTGCGGATTTATTGCAGGTTTTTTTACAAGTTCAGATATGACGTTATGCTTATTCACGCTTCTGTCGTTTTTTTGGTCCGGCTTTACCTTTCTTTTGTTTTCACCCCACGCCACAGCAATACAGTAATCTTACCTGCTGTATATGGAGACAAAGAGTTTATTTGACCAGATGATTTTATTTATCATCCCAGATGATTTTATTTATTCGTGCCCCAGCAGTGGGGGCATTAACAGGCTTATTAATGTCCCCACTGCTGGGGCACAGGCCTTCCCTGTGGATGGAATTGAGAGATTGGGCCATGACCCACCATGCGGACCTAGTGCGGATTGGTGGATGCTAACGACTGCAGCCACAGCCGGGACCAACGGCTTAACGTGACTTCCGAAGCACGGCGGAGCACGAGAAAGAAAGTAAATTTTTGGTCACCCATCCAATGACCGACCACTGCAAAAGTTGCTTGACTTCAACGATCTCAGTAGAACGCGCTAACCACTTACGTCATCGAGTTCCTCATAGACATAGAATACTCAACATTAATGACATACGTGGGACTAAATATAGCAAATTCCTTATGAAAGAAATGACGGTTATAAGACTAGTTTAAAAATACATGGTACATTATTTCATAGGTCTTTAGTTCCTTTACTGGAAATAAAGGAGAATCTTTTAAACTTTAAAGATATTCTGGTGAATATCTTATATATCTTAAGTAGTGAAAAAAGGAAATAGAAACATACAGCAGATTCTGTCTACTAGACTATGGCAACCGCTTACCATCAGGAGGGCCATATAATTGAAAATTCTTTGCCACTCTTTATACAAAAAAAAAATTGGATTGTGGTTAAAGCATTAAATGTTCAATACCTAACAATCAATATATTCTAACAGAAAAAATAATAATGTATTTTTAGCCACTTTTCAAATGAAAAATAACTGAATTAAACTTAAGTGGTTTAATATCTAGTACCTAACCATAATACACTATAAATTTAACCAAAATAATACAAATAAAAAGTATTTAGCACTAACCTATTTTTCCAGATTTCAGATCTTCTTTTTTCCTCTTCTCCTCTTCCAACTTTTCAGCTCGCATTTTTAACCAATCCGCTTTGTATTCTCTACAAGAAACAACATCAACCAATTAAGGATACCAAAAATAAAATCTATAGAAAGGTATTAGTAACAATAACCTAATTTTGTAATTGGTTTTTATAGTTCAAAACGAACTACTCACTTCTCATACTCTTCAGCAGCTTCATCAACCAACTTGAAGAAATCATCTAAACCCTGAAAGATATACAATTTCATAAAATACTATTTCAGCAGCAGATGCTATGTCCCATGGCATAGTCAAATATTGTATTCTGTTAGGTTAAGCACACACCTGAGGAGCTCGATGGCGCAAGTGGTTAGCGCGTTCGGCTGCGATCGTTGAAGTTAAGCAACTTTCGCAGTGGTCAGTCATTGGATGGGTGACCAAAAATGTACTATCTCAAGCTCCTCCGTGCTTCGAAAGGCACATTTAGCCGTTGGTCCTGCCTGCATCTCTGCAGTCGTTAGCACCCACCAATCCGCACTAGGCCCGCGTGGTGGGTCATGGCCCAATCTCTCAATTCCATCCATAGGGAAGGCCTGTGCCCCAGCAATGGGGACATTAATTGGCTAATGATGAAGCACACACATTGTTACATTTTGTTTGTTATTATAAATTTAATATTCTATATTGCACTATGAGTTGAGCAAAGGAAGTCTAAATTCTAATAGAGATCTTCCAGCCAGCCAAGGTTGTGAAAAACAGATGTAATGTTGATGATGTTATCAGTTCATTTAGATTTTTAAAACAATGATTTAACATTAATATTCATGTTAAAATGTTTCAATAGAAGAAACAGAACAGTAGCCGAATAAAATTGTTCTGTAGTAGTATAGGAAGGTCGGTAGTGCTCCACTGGGTAGGGTAATTGTCCATTGAGGCAATCGCTTCAAGGGCTGAAACTATACTTTTTCGGTTCTACCAACACTTAAAATAACGACATAGTAGTCATTCAGTAGGTAATATTTAAAGAATAATAAAAATGTAGATTCTCACTGCTCCAGTATGTGCGCTGACACCGCAACACCTCAGATCTGAGTAGAAATTATCGAGCGCTAGTGACATTGATCGTGTCAAATTGCCGATATAAGAGTTCCCTCCCTCCCCGTCCCCTTCTGCATCTAGAGCTTCTTGGAATGATTCGAAGTCACGCATCCATTCTACTGCATATGAGTTATCAACTACATCAGTCTGTAAAAAGAATAGGAATTACTCCAATATCATATGTCTCTAATTAACTTGTAGTGGGAGGTAAAAAATAAAGCTAGAACAAGCATATAATGTCTTCTGTCTCATGATGTTTCCCATTTCTCAGGTTCTTGATGAAAAATTCAAGGTAAAGTTTTTATTAAATTAGCAAGTTCTACTCCAATCTGGGAGGTTATGGAATAACAAATTGTCAGCTACAAGACATTTCATAAATCTTTTAACAGATAAGGTAGTTTCAGAAGCCAATTCTGTTATCATTGTATTAGCAATATAAAAATTATAATATAATTAACCTAGATTGATTCTGATAATGCACTACCTACTAAAAAATTTAAAAAACTATGGTACTGACACTGTTTGGGTAGCTTTTACTGCCAGAGTTGAGTAAGTATGCTTGTTACACCATTTAATGATTAATTTGGTATAGGCATTTGATATTGTGAGAAAGGTTATTTACTATTAAGTAAATCAAGTCTCACCTTATTCATTACTACCACAAAAGGCAATCTCGTTTTGTACAATATTGAACATGCATACAACATATTAGACATGAATGTGACAGGGGACACACTCCGGACTGTGTCCATAACATACACAACTACAGTTGGACATGAGGAAGCCAAAGTTTCTGTTATTATTGTGCCTGAAGCTGACCATGTGAAGACTTCGATTTGACCTAAAACAAAACAATTAATTATAATAATAATAATTATTTATTTATTTACTTGAACAACTATGTGGTCCATAAAGAGTTAGTAACAATTTAACTTATATGCTATGTTAGTAATTATTTAAATTAGATCATACCAAAAAAATAAAAAGTACTATTTGGCCACAATCTGGCTGCCTGTGATACAGAGTTGCACCAATTTCTTTATAATGGGTGAATCATATCTTGTACCTATGGTCTTCAGAATGGAGTTCGTACTAACACGCAGTCTGTGTAGCATTGAGGCTGCTCTTTTTCTTAAAATGGCGTAAAAATCATCAGTATGTGCCTGAGCGAACATATTCGACGCACTACAATAACGAGCCAGCCCGACAATACTCTGAACCCATTGTTATACTGGACCCGTAGATCACTGATGTGTATAGTAGCTGTGTATAGTACGCCCATAAGCTGCACGTATAGAAAACTTGACAATAAGCTTTAAATAATGTTGTCTTTACTTGCTGACTACAAAGAGCAAACTGATGCTGATAAACCCATTTTAGATTAAGTCCATTTAGTTCAACCTCAGGTTCTAGAATTGATGCATTTCAAATGTGGTGTTGGCGCACAATGCTAGGCACACCTTGAAGGGCACAAATAACTAAAGCATCTATCAAGGAGCTGGGTATCAACACGCATCTATCTTCAAACTCCATGTAGGGCCTCCTCAAATTCTTCAGACACATGGTGAGGTGAAACTGAGATAATTTTGAGAAGCTTCTGATCATGGGAAACATGGAAGGCAAAAGGAGTAGAGGCAGGTCTCCATCCCAGTGGTAGGACATGGTCAAGGACACCAAAAATGGCAACTTGCAGGCATCTATCTGCCTTGCAGAACAAACACTGGCCCTCAGCCATGAGGCAACAACAGAGAAAAAAAAGAAATAAGTAAGCATAAAACCGAAGCTATATTAAGAACCATCTATGAATGATCTTTAGCATTTAACAACAGAGATAGTCAAATTATTACAAAATTACTTTGAGAAAAATATTCAGAGTTACGGGAGACTTATTGCATATACTTCTAAGCATAAAAACTAAACCATATTAGAACCTTCCATGAATGATCTTTAGCATACATACAACATATAATTAAATTGTTTTATTTATATATTATATTACTTCATATACCTACAACAATTCAGTAAAATCAAGACAATAATCCTCTACAAGAGGATCTTTTTCTAAATTGTAATGTGTAATACTTAATGCAAGTTACTGAAAGTGGTTATTGAAGAATAGCCCATAGAAAATTATAAACATTTGTTACCTGGTGTATCAATGATGCAATACTTGTGTTTCTTGCCAGCTTTTTCAATCAACTCTACCACTTGCCCAAATTTAGTGGAAAATAAATTTAGTGCTGTGACAATTCCACCATTAGGGCCTAAGCCATATTGCTTCATAACTTCTTTATAGTCAACTGTGTCTCTTATATCTAAAAATAGATTATATTTGAATCTTTGCAACTTTTTTCTAATAAGATCATCATAATATAAAAACATATAAATAACAATGTTATTGATTAAGAACTGTACATTACCTATGTTTGCTGGGTATGGGACTTCTCTGCATGCAGGGTCTAAATTTATTAAGTATGGTCTAGCACCATCAATCACTTTGCTGGAAAGTCTTCTTGTAAATGATGTCTTTCCAGCCCCCGCCATTCCTGTGTAAAACAACAAATAACAATAGATGTATCAACACTAATTAACAAATAACTTCTGGAACCTCCGAGCCTCTGATCTAAAGTTAGAGATGACAGATATGATATTTTTTTTTACCTAATGAATAACCTGACTTTACAATGTACTTAACTTCCTCCATAGTATAGCGGTCAGTGCATCTGCTTGGATTGCAAGAGATACTTTTGTTGGACTCAATCAACCTGAACCTTGGCAGAGATTAATATTCACTAGTAAAAATTTTTTTTTACATATAATTAATCAAGCAGTTTAATGTGTAAATAAAGATTATATAGATATTATAAAACTGCAACTTTAGTTTTAAACATTCGCTATTAGGTCTTACAACTCATTCATACTAATGTTAACCTGGCGTTCGCACAGTTGGGTCTATTTGACCCGAGCAGTTTTCAAATGAGCTTGTTTCTTAAAATGTTTGTTCGACGTTGCCAAACTTCTCAGTAGCTGGAGCTAATGGTACCCCCTTCGCGCGGGATATCGCCATTCAGTCGTGTTGCGGCCTCAGCGGGTGATAAATATGACCCAACCATACTATTAGTATCGTAATTTTGCGCCATTAAAAAAATTTTTTTGTTGTTTTATATTGTTTATTTTTGGCATGCTAAAAATGTTTGGAATAAATGCGTACATATTACATAACAAGAATAACAACACTAGGTCAAAGCGACACCAATTTCTAAAGAAACTTACGCCTTCCACTGGTTCGTGATTATTTGCGCAATCGTAAAGATGTCATTCAGTTGCAAAGACTTATGCGCAAAAGAATCAGAGAGTTTTTAGTAGAACCTGATGAGGAGCCACCTGCAAGACTGTTCTACCAAAAAATATAGAAAAACTAATAATACTTTTCGGAGCTGTAGCAAATACATCTGCAGTGAGCATGCAATGTTGTACTGCCGATATTGCGCAGATGATAAGGATACTATGACTGATGTATGAGACTGATACATATAGTATAATATTATTAGTCTACTAAAGATTTAATTAACATGTAACAAATTAGTTTATGTTATAGAAAAAACTTTGTTTTGTTCAAATTTTATTACTTTAAGACAGAGGTTGTCCATTTTGTTAATATTTTGTGACACTTTTATGAAAATGACATTAAAAAACCCAACATGATACGAAACATCTTTAGTTTCGTATCATGTTGTGTTTTTATCTACTCAAAAGCTATAACGATAATCGTATTATACAAATAGTACAACCACAAACCAAATTTATTTTAACTTTTGTAATTATGGCGTTTTCTTATACGGGTCCTCTCGACCCAACCCTACTGTCGTTGTTGCATATTTTGACTGTGCTGACGCCGGGTTAAACAGAGGTAAAGTTTATTTGTTTGTAGCAAATCTATGGACTGTTGAACCAATTTTAGAAATTCTTTTACTGGTAGTAATATACTGTATTTCTGTGTGATAAAGGCTATAGTTTTTCATCGTTAATATGAATTTACCACAGAATAAGCCGGGGCGGGACGCAAACCTGATAATCTAAATCATAACACCATCATAATACCTCAAATAATAAATAGTGTCAAGGTCTGTATTTCAATAAAAAAACTTCCTAATATTATGGTGTGTATAAGCTTTTTCGTCTAAGCTGTAAGTTTAAACAAAAGGAAACTCGAAAACGAACCTAATACTATCAGACAAATGGGTTTTTTCAGGTCTTCCTCCATTCGTTCTGGTTTTACATCTTCAGCAGCCATTTGGATAAATTCTTATAACTATTATGTATTAGTTTCAAATTTATTCATATGATTTTAACAAACTACGCTTTAACTTATGTTTTTTGTTTTCACTACCCGCTCGCCTTTTTTGAGGTTAGGTTATTTATGAAATGTCAATGTCAAAATGGACAATCAGTTGATTTTTTTGGACAATTTGTCCCAGTTGGGACGGGCAAAGGATTCTGAGTCTATACAACACTTTGTTGTTTTTTTTTTGGTCAATTTGTCCCTGTTGGGATGGGCATCAGTTGTTGTTGTATTTTTGTTTATGAGACATTGAATACTGAATCCACATAGCCTTCTCTTTTTTTATTATTATTATTTGCAATCAGCCTTTGTACTATGAGTAAAATTGAGTACAACCAAACATGACACGAGTGGTGGGCCAGCACCACCACTTCCTTTAAAGAACATTTTTTCTTCTTCGTCCTCTTCAGTCTCGTGACGCGGTCAGCATGCTCAAGCAATTGGCTTATTTGAGGATTTGGAAAGTTTGAGAGGATCTCAGTGTACCTCGATTTGCACTTGTCTATCTCTTCTGTGACAGTGGGCATGCTCAAGTATTCATGAATTAAGTAATTTTTTATGAACCATGGTACATTTACTATTGTTCTGAGGATATTATTTTGAACTTATGTTGTGTTTGCTTGTAAAGGCTTGCATATATGTCTTAGAATAAGTATTATTTTAATTTTTTAATGTTTTTATATGTTTAGCTGTAAGTACACCTATTAAATAAATAAATAAATGAACTCGTTGCAATCAACTAATGTTACTTTTGCTAGCAGTGCTCCACAACTGGATCCCATAAGTCCAAACTGGTTTAATAATGGAGTTGTATATGAGAAGCTTGTTGTCAATTGACAAGGCAGAGTTGCGGTTCATAAGCCAATCGTTAAAGGTTTCTTTATTTTATATTGACCTCATCTTATTCAAGTCTAAACCAAAACACTTGACGCAATCTGAGTGTGTCCGACCCAAGGTGAACAGGAGAACAGTTTCCCTTCGTTAGTGGAAACGCAATGTGGTTTAACTTTTGGCCAATGACTCGAATACGCCATTTTTTTCAGGCTTGCGTGAGTTTGATCTAATAGGTTCTATAGCTTTGCACAAGCTGTGTCAGGATTTTTATCGCAGACAAAGTATGCAATGTCATCAGCGTATGTAGCAACTACGGCGTCGCTTGCAACGTTACACAAGGAAGGTCGTACGTGAATATGTAATACAGAACCGGACCAAGTACCGATCCTTGCGGGACACCAGCCTCTACAGCTTGCAAGGAAGATCGTGTGTCACCGACCATAACCCTGAAGTATCTTTGTGACAGGTACGATGCAATTATGAGGTAAACCGAGCGTGGCAGATTATTTTTGACCTTGTGACCAAGAGACCCTTGTGCCAAACCTTCTCAAACGCCTGTTGCACATCTAGGAAAGACGCTGAGCAGTATTATTTTCTCTTACAGCAATTTCTCACTGTGTCGTATACACGATGCATTTGTTCTATGGTGGAGTGGGATTTTCTAAAACCAAATTGATGTGTGGGGATGAGGTCACAGTTATCTATGCAAAATTTAGGACGAGTAAGGAAACTCCTTTCCCACAGTTTAGAGAGTGTAGGCGTCACGCTAAGGGGTCTGTAGGATGTAAGATTATGTAAAGGTTTTCCTGGTTTGTGTATCATGATGACTTCAGAGATCTTTCAGATGGCTGGGAACAAGACGTCCTAAATATGGCGTTAACAGACAAATGGGTTTTTTCAGGTCTTCCTCTATTTGTTCTGGTTTTACAGGCCAGGAAGGTGATACATTTCTATATTTATGTATGGGGTTTGTTTTGTTGAGGTTGTGAAATTTTAGTTTGATTTGTTTTTACAGATTCATTCATTGATTTCCCACGAGATAGCACGAAATATTAGTTGCTTACAAGGTGTTGCCTGTAAGAAGGCACTTATACAACGATGGTTGCCCGTAAACATCGAAATTGGCGCTTGAGACTGATTGCCTATCAGCTATTTCATCCCATCGGCACGGTGCACACCTTAGGATTAGGGGTTTCACATTGGCTATCTTGGTCCTAAAGTAAACAGGGTTCTGTTTGGACTATGATATTGCCCGGGGAGGACGACTCACTGTTGATGGTGATTCCATTGCTAGATGCGGCGGCGTTCAGACAATGGCGGGGACTTGGTGTGAATAGGACTGGCCAGTGCGCGTCTGTAGTCTAGATCCACGTAGAATTAAGCATGTTTGTTACTCAATCACACCTGAAACGGCTGAACGAATTTGAATGAAGTTTGGTACATACGAGAGGAGATGAATAAGTTTGCGGAATTGAGGGGTTGGTGGGGGTAGGTTTACTCGTCCAGGTAGGCACTAGTTGAGCACCTAATTAAGAGTATAAATACCAAGTATGAACCTAATCGGGTTATTAACTTGTGAGTTATCGACCTGCAAGCAACTGAATCGAGAAGAAGTCAGCCAGTATCGAGAAAATTGAACACCGCGCCGTTATTAAGTTAAACTTACCAACTAACAGTTAACTTACCAAACAAGGAAAATCCGCTCATATTATTTTTCAAGAGCTGTTGGCAGTTTACGCAGACTCTGCCCCTGGTAAAATCATGGTTTACAAGTGGCATGGTCTTTTCAAACAAGGAAGAAAGTCCATTGAAGATGACCCCCGCTCCGGACGGCCAATTGAGGCCACCTCACCGGAAATCGCCGAAAAAGTAGACAAACTTGTATTGGAAGATGCCCGGTTGAAGAAGAAGCAGCTTGCTGCAATGAATGGAGTATACGAAACAAGTATTTTGAATATTCTACATCATCATCTTGGGATGACTAAAGTCAGTGCAAAATGGGTTCCGAGAATGCTCACGCCACTTCAAAAACGCGAGGGTGTCGAGTGTTCTCGCCAGTTTTTGGAGCATTGTGGAGAGAGAAAGGTAGAAGTTATGGCCCGAACGTTACTGGGAAACCTGGGTTCACCACTATGAACCAGAGTCAAAGCAAGAGTCGATGCAATGGCATAAAAAAGGCACACCTCCACCAAAGTTCAAAGTGACACAATCAGCTGGTAAGATCATGGCGACTGTCTTTTGGGATACAGAAGGTATTTTACTGATCGATTATAAAGAACGTGGTGTGACTATAACGGGACAGTACTACGCTTCTTTACTGGAAAGATTGAAAGAAGCAATCAAGGAAAAAAGAAGAGGAAAGCTGTCAAAAGGTGTGCTCCTTCTGCACGACAATGAACCCGTTCACACGTGCCATGTTGCGACGGCTGCCATTCACCGATGCGGCTTCGAACGATTGAACCACCCACCCTCCAGTCCAGACTTGGCACCCAGTGACTATTATTTATTTCCAAAAATGAAGAAAGAGCTGCGTGAAAAAATAAATGACGACGATGAAGAAGTGAAGTCCGCAATTTCGGCCTATTTTGACACCAAAGACAAATATTTTTTTTTCGATGGTATAAACAAGTTATTTGAGAGATCTGAAAAATGTATTAGGGTTAAGGGAGAATATATGGAAAAGGAAAAATAGTTTGGTGTTTAATTTCAACCTCCTTCCCTCTTATTCCTCTAACTTTTTGACCTCCCCTGGTAAGACAAGACCAGATATAAGACAGGAAAAATTTTATCCCGGAAAAAATTAGGTTCCTGAGGGATTTTGCAAAAACTAAAGTTAATGCGAACGAAGTGGAAGCGGTGTCGTGTGAGGCGAGTCGTTACATTCCCTAAAATATGGTTGAGCGAAGCGATGGCTGGTTCATGCGTCATGCTCGCGAACGGGTCCTGCCAGCGGAGATGAGTCTGCCCTAACTTCCTTGATATTGAAGTTAATGTTTAGTTACACTTAATAAATAACACTATTTGTATTTAAACTATATGACACAGCAATCAAAATGCAGATAAACAATTAATGTATATTTAATCCTTACGTAATGAAAGGTAACTTCATGAATCGTCTGTGAAATCATTTTTCAATTTGACGACTCTGTAAATAAAAACACAGGGAGAAAAAAACAGCCCTTGTTGAGTTTCTTGTCGGTTCTTCTCAGTACAAGGTCTCCCACCGTAGATTTACGAACCGATGGCGTAGCTTCTAGACATTCATGAGTGCTTGTAACAGCCTAAACTGAATAAATAATGATTATGATTATGAAGTCGCGGGCGGCCGTTAGTATTTAATAAACTATACCAACTCAATCAATGGAATATCTGAGAGACCAAAATTCTATGAGGATATCAGTGTAGGCCTGTGTTAAAATAGATACGTGTTGCAATATGGTTGGAATAAATAAATCAAAAACAAAGTTTATTACATGAAAATATTGTTTTATTACTTTTAGCTAACCAATATTTACAGTATTTACATAATATCTTAAATAACGCAGTCTATTGAGTTTCTTTCTCGAGATTGAGGAACATAATGGGGTAGAGATGTCCCAGTTTGGAGATCCTCTTCTGTATGATGAGCCTCAATGTGTCCGTGTATGTAGCCGGTGGCTTGCATGTCGATGGATCGCGCCAATGAAGACCTTGAGAAAACGGGTTATTTAATGTTTCAGCCAAATAATAAACCTTTATGCCACTCCTGCTCAGAAAGTGCTTTATTCTTATTTTAAAAATGAAGCAGAAAGGACCTCGTTACTGTTGTATCGGGTTCTTTAATGTTTCAGCCAAATCATAAACCTTTAAACTACTCCTGCGTAGAAAGTGCTTTATTCTTATTTTAAAAATGAAGCCGAAAGGACCTTTTTTGGTGTCTTGCTAAGTGGGCTGGCAAAAGTGTATGTAAATACTGAGCGGGAAGAAAAATCTATAGAAATTCATTGTTAACGTGCTGTTGATTTTATTCCTTTTTTAATTTATGTTACGCAAAGTGATCAGTATGATTTTGCAGACTTTGCAATATATTTTTTTAACATTATACTGTTTGCTTTCTAAATTAATTTTGAAAACAGAACAAAAAGTAAAAAGCTCGCTGATTATTTAACAAAATTTTCCATTTGTTTTCCTATCTACTCGAGACGGAGTATTACTGATAATGAAGATTTATAAGCACCGCCAAAATTAAAAGAAACTATCTTAGCAGTGATTGAGTACCTTTACCCGTGAAATCAAGAAACCAATATAAAGCTCCCATGCAAAAGTTTAGTAACTGGAACAACTTTAATATCAATTTTAATTTAATAATTTGCCTTTTATTTCCTCGCAGTTATAGAATAATTCACTATGTCTATCCCTCGAAAGAAAGTGCCATTTCCAACTTGAGTCTGCCCTTGGCTGCGCCTCGAGCTTCAAACTACACCCTCGTTTGTAATCGGTCACTTTCTCCTCTCGGTAAACAATGTACTATTAACCAACCGCATAAATATATCATACAAAAAAATATTTATCATTTTCAACAGCAGCCTAGTAATGAAGGCCTGTGCCACAGCAGTGGGGCTGTGGCACAGGCCTTCCCTATTATGAGCGACATAGAGCTATGGGTGCTAGCAACTCCAGACGCATGCAATACTTAAAAAACTTAACGTGCCTTTCGAAGCACGGAGGAACTCGAGATAATACGTTTTGGCAACCCATAATGACTGGCCATTGCAAAAGTTGCTTAACTTCCACGATCACAGACCGAACTAATGCTCTAACAATAAAATCAATATTACCTATATAATTTATAAATACATATTTGAAACAATAAAGAATACGATGATATTCACCTGTTGCGTCACAAGTGAATAAGGCAGGCGAAGGCACGTGATCGCGCGTGTAGTTCCATAGACAATCTCGTAGTACTTGCACGATCTATAAACAAAGATGAATAAAATCTGTAACTATGAATGTAAGTAGGCTTTCTTGGAAATGGATATAAAAACATAAATACAAGCAAAATATGAAGTATTTTAATTTTTTTTACAGAAACTTTACTTCACATTTGAGATTGATAAGTTGGCGCTAATAGGCTAGTTTACTCATGTCGAAATGTATGAAATAAATGTTTATTTCTTAAAGTATTTAGTCTAAGGAACCTTAATATATCGATTTCACTTAATAAAAACAGAAGATTGCTGTAGAAATTTAATTTTAAAAATTATTTTTTAGTCTATATTTTTTAAACACTAAAAACGCTGTTCGCCACGTCCGCCATTATTTTGACGTCTCTTGTGGTAAACAAACAACTAAATGTCATTCGCGTGTTACTGTAGGTAGATTCTTTCGTCTGACTAAATTTATCTTAAAACACTTTTAACTTTAGGAAAGAAAAAAAACAGTAAACTTATTTTTTTTTGACAAAACTAATTATGGATGCCGGCTTTGTGAAAGCAGAAAGCACAAATCTGCCAAGAATTGACGCATTGATGGTTGGTGAATTTGTTGCACTAAACCCCGATTTCTGCTCTGCGGAGCAGAGAAACGACAAGGCATCTATGTAAGTACAGTGTATTTAGTATTACAATGTAGTAATAAACATAAAACTGATACAACATATGAATAAGTGTAATAAAGTTGCGTAGGTTAATTTCTTTCGGCACTTTAATCCACAACTTTCCTGGAGTCTTCAAGGATGTGTTTTTATATTCTCGTACAATACAGTAATGATAATTACTTTATTTTTCGTGGTATTTATTAGAAATCATGTTTTTTTTATTATAAACTCAGTTAAAATTAATTTTCTACGTGTTTACGAGTTTTTGTTTACCACAGTTCACATCATAGCATAGATAATCTATAGACTAAAATGGCCGACAGCGTTTTTGTATGTCCATGAAAAGTCTATTTTAAAATTAAAGATTTGTAGCTTTCTAGGTTTAAAAAAATTACAATACATTTTTTTTCGGTCTAATAGAACATTTATTAACCATTTAAACCTTTTTCCAAAAAGGGTCAACTAGCCTATTTCTTTCCGATAGCAACGGAATTAAACAGACATACGTCACTGTGCTTCATCGCATTCCTGCGATATTACGTCATACTTGGTGACACCATTTTAGTCCACTCTGGAGATTCCCTTGTGACACAGTGATGATAAACTCAAAAACTCTTCAAATGAAGACATTGCTTTTACTAAAATAACGAAAAAAATAACTTCTTCTATTCTCAAACCATGACATTAGTAGTTCCCAACGCTATTCATAGTCGTAATAAATGAATGAACCCAATATCTTATTGATGTGTAACATCCGTCCTCTCGCCTTCCTGCAATTTGTGGGAGGGATTTCGTGAAATGGGCCGGAAGTGCGTAACAGAGTGTCGCGAAAGCGAGCGATATTTGATTTGATTTTAGAACAAAATGTTCAAATGGCTTATTCCTTTTGTAGTAGGTTTTATTTCTTTTTTTACTAATAGAAGGCGAGGTTTCAAACGTTACACATCATACGCGATTACTGTAAGGCTCGCTCGTCTTTTCTTTAAATCTTATCTGAGTGGGATATATTCTCACCTCGCCGGCAGTCAGTCCCGGGGCCAGCTCCAGCATATGGCTGAGCGGATGGGGCAGCAACTGGCCCAGGGTCATGGTGGCCAGCAGTTCCGCCAATGCTGCTCGCTCCCGGGCCATTTCCGCCGATTGAGAGTGGCGATCTGCGAGTGCAATGAAAAGCTTAAAACTTTTTTGTATACATCATATAACAAATGTCATTAAAGAAGGAATCGTAAATGACGACGTAAGAGTTTCTGTCTGTCTGTATCGCAAATAGGGTATTTGACAGTATTAAAAATAAAGTGCCAATTGTTAGCATCTGTGTTTAGATTGAATATTGGAGGGGTTTTTACTATATTTACAAAAGAAAAATTCATAATTTTACTAAATACCCTCGAAAAAGATAATAGTTTTCTTATCTATTGTCACGTGATCCAAAACGCTAGGGATTGGCGGAGCCTAAAATGACGTCACACGCAAGTAAACTTCCGGTTAAAATGACATTACATTGTATCGTTTGACGTTTTAATAACAGTCGTGTGACGTCACACACTAGTAAGACGCCATATTGTCTAGAGAAACGTTTGCGATAAACGGAACGGACGAACGCAGCGCGCGACGACAAGCTGGCAACATCGCCAGCGCTCTGTACCCTTATGTATCCATTGCCAATAAATAAAAAAAAATCTGTACCCTTAGCACGAACCAATATCGAATTCGAATAGTTTACGAGTCCGAAATGTCATTGTCAATTGTGTACTGATTTTTAGTTCTCGTTACGTCCGTTGTGGCGCTGCTGTTCAAGATTCCGTACAAAATTTGTCAATGACATTTCGCACTCGCAAACTATTCGAATTCGATATTGGTTCGTGCTAAGGGTACTGTTTTATTGTTCGAGTTTCTATAGAGAATGGTACACCAGTGCGTAGATAAGCATTTGCCCATCAAACGTGCGGTTGATTTGACCTAGAATTTTTTACAATAGATTTTTACCTAGTAAGCTTTTGGCTCGAGGGCGCAAGTGGTTAGCGCTTTCGTTAAAGTTAAGCAACTTTCTCAGTAGTCGGTTGTTGGATGGGTGGCCAAAAATTTACTACCTCGAGCTCCTCCGTGCTTCGGAAGGCTCCTTAAGCCGTTGGTCCTGACTGTATCAGCAGTCGTTAGCACCTACTGATCCTGGGGGCGGCCAGTGTCACAGGGCCCGTGTGGTGGGTCATGGCATCCCGATCTCCCTATTCCATCCATAGGAAAGGTGTGTGCCCCAGCAGGGGAGACTTTAATAGGCTGATGATAATATAGCTCCCGGCTTGCAGTAGCCGCCTGCCGGCTTATTCGTTAATTTTTTTGACATTACAGTGTGTTAAAACAAAAAGAGAAGATACAGTACGCTCATACAAGCATCAAATAAAATATGATCCGACTCAACTACATAAGCAACACTCACAAACGCACACGTCTGTATAAAAACATTCAATCGAGCGAGCGAGACACTACTGTACTCTTCAACGCAGCGCGAGCGAAACAGCGTGTTTGCTTACGAGTCCGTACGGCTGAGTAAAATGGCGATTATGTAAATAACATTTACGACAAACCATGATTTTTGAGTAAAAAATGATTTTACAGATTTACGAATGAAAAGTGTTGCCGAGCTTTTTGTTATTTATTTTAAACTATTTGTGTTCTTTATAAAAGCATCGAAGGCATTGTTTTATCTTCATAACACAACAACGACGTTTGACGACCTCCGTGGCCGAGTGGTTTGTACGCCGGGTTTCATGGTGTCTGTCGCCGACTCGAGAGGTCCCGGGTTCAAATCCCGGTGGGGGCAGATGTTTGTGTGATGAATACGAGCATTTATACTCCAGTCGTGGATGTTTAATATGTATTTCTATATAAATATACTTATATGTGTACAGTATATGTATTCTATCCGTTACCCTAGCATCCCATTACACAAGCCTTACAGTGCTTACTTTGGGGGTAGGCTAATTGGTGTGTGTTAAAAAAAACAGAATATACGTATTTTGTTATATTGAGTGCACATGCAGCGTGTTTGAATGTTCAATTGTGACTCAAGCGAATTGTGGTCGTGCACCACAATTTAAGCGGATCACTTTTGAGCCGCGAGTGCCGTATCATCCCTTTTTGTTTTAATCTAAGCTCGTTACCTAGTAGCGCGCGGTGTCGATGCAGCAGGGTGGTGGCCGTGGCTCGCAGTAGGGCGGAGGCGAGGCAGAGCGCGGGGCGGGCGGCCGCGGCCCGGCGCAGGGCGGCGCGGGCCGTCTGTGCCCCAGCAGTGGGGACATTAATAGGCTGATGATGAAGCACGTTACCTAGTAGGGCGCGGTGTCGATGCAGCAGGGTGGCGGCCGTAGCTCGCAGTAGGGCGGAGGCGAGGCAGAGCGCGAGGCGGGCGGCCGCGGCTCGGCGCAGGGCGGCGCGGGCCGTCTGTGCCCCAGCAGCGGCGACACTAATAGGCTGACGATGAAGCTCGTTACCTAGTAGCGCGCGGTGTCGATGCAGCAGGGTGGCGGCCGTAGCTCGCAGTAGGGCGGAGGCGAGGCAGAGCGCGGGGCGGGCGGCCGCGGCCCGGCGCAGGGCGGCGCGGGCGACGGCGCAGTTCTCTAAAGCGCCGCGCATATATAGCTCGCGTTCTATGCTCACTTGCTGAATAATAGCAAACAAAAAACATGGTAGAAGATAAATACATTTAAAATGAAACTCAAACAACATATTACCAAAAAAGCATACTATTCGGTAAATGAATTTATGAATGATAAGTGAAACCGTCACAGAAAGCTAACTTACTTGTTTGAAACTGAAACTATTTAATAATTGTCTAGATATAGATATTGTACTTGCAACACCCTGACAGGGTCATGTACCATACTAAAATAATTGTTTAAGATCCTATACTGTACATCTGCAATTAATTAAATAAATAAATCTTAAAATAATATTGTGCATCGCTAGTGTTTTCGGTTTAAAGATTTTTTATTTCTCATACGAACTTAGAACGAGGTACATAACTAAAACTAATAACTTAATTGAAATGGCGCAGCACAGCTGCTTTATAAAACTATCGTCTAGTATAATAGGTAGGCAAACTATTGTTATTAGTACAAGCACAACACAAACACGCAAACTGCGTATTTACGAGCGAATGACAATATCAATCAGAAATCAATATATCTTTATTCAAATTGGATGTATAGTACAACACTTTTGAATCGTCCAAACATTTTTTTTTTCCCTACCACTCGTTATTGGACATATTTTTTAGCTGCGGAGAAAAACGAGCGAAAAAAACTCCACAACATTAAAAGCATAATGTAACAACATTTACAAATCATTATGTTGTTACAACGTCAATACAATCATGATTTATTTAATATAGAAAACCTGTTGAAATGATTGGAACAGTTCAAACCCAAGCATTTTTGTCTGTAATATAATCAGACACTTTGTAATAAGCTTTTTTAATAAGTGCTTTTTTTATACTATCTTTGAATTTATTTATGCTTAACTCTTGGATATTGCTTGGGACTTTATTGTATAAGCGAACACAAAGACCTTTAAATGAATTATTGATTTTGTGAAGCCTAGTAGCAGGTAAAGTTAGTTTATTTTTGTTTCTTGTATTAAGTGTGTGAACATCACTGTTTTTAAGAAACAAATTAATATTTTTTCTTACAAGTAATAAATTTTCGTAAATGTATTGTGATGCGACCGTCATTATACCAAATTCTTTAAACCTATCTCTTAAGGAATCCTTAACTTTAAGATTATAAATTGATCGAATAGCTCTCTTCTGCAGCACAAAAATAGTTTGAATGTCGGCGGCGTTTCCCCACAATAAAATTCCGTACGACATTACACTATGGAAATAACTAAAGTATACTAATCTGGCCGTATCTACATCCGTTAACTGGCGTATCTTCATTACGGCATATGCTGCAGAACTAAGTCTATTTGACAATTTATCAATATTATTATTAATATTATTATTTTGCTACTATCCCTTCAAAAAGAAAACACGCAATTCGTACCGGCGGAGTGCCGATAAGTAACGGTAGGTATTGTTCGATCAGTCACACGATGCATAGCATTATTAAAGATGTGGAGTCGCTTATGCAACTCGTTGCGTTAGAAATTATATTTATTTATTTTGTTTTTAATGCCAGCATTCAGGGGCAGATTTAAGGTAGAGCAGGCGAGGCTGTGGCCCGGAGGTCCCCACAAGAAATGAGGCCTCCACAACTAAGATAAAATAAAACAGGGAGGGTGCAAATCGTAAATGGTACGGCCCACATTTCTTCGTTGCCTGATGCCTGTGATATTTTTAGTATCGCAAGATAGGCTATGGCGGCCGCTTACCATCTGGCAAATCTAACGAAATAGAAAAAATATGGAATACGAACTGCGCAAAATAGTAGTTCCACACAAACTGAGATCTAGTGGGCAGGGCGAAAAACTGCGATCAACACGCCGATCATATGTTTAGTCTTTTTAAATGATAAATTTTAATAAAATATTTTTAATTTTGATGAGATAAAAACTACGATACTAATTTACTGTACTTAATTAAGATAATGATTTTGTTATATGTATATTGTTTGTTTATTTTGTTAATGATTTAATTTAATGATTATTATGTGGTATAATTTTGTAAAACATGATATAATTTGCTTTTATGTATAATTTATAGTTTTTGAGTAATTTAAGAATGAACTATAAGTATAGATACTGAGGCATGTATTTACTATGCCTTTACAGGGTGTCACATATTATTGTATTCTATCTCATGAGTGTAATGTGACATGCAATAAATAATTCAAATTTTAACTGACACATACAGTAACTAATCCAAGCTTATTCTTAGTTTATTAATAAGGGGGTAAGTCTAATTTCTTTTTATAGCAAGGTAGGCAAATAACTCTACCCACTCTGATGTTAAGTGGTAATAAAGTCCAAACGCGAAGATAGCTGGTACAGCAGTTATGAACTGCTACACCAACCATCCTCACCTTACCGGCCTGCAAAAATGCTTCTTCACGCCTCTCTTATAAGACTTATATTTGTTACACCAACCTTAGTGAAATCTTCGTCCGGCCAAGGCAGGCCATTGTACATAACATCGGGTGATACAAGCTCCACCAGAAGCAACGATACTGACGTCGCGCCTTCAACCACACCGCTGTTCCCGTCCTGATATCAAATATATAATAATCAAAATCATTTATTCAGTTTAGGCTGTTACAAGACCTCATGAATGCCTAGAAGCTACGCCATCGGTTTGTAAATCTACGGCGGGAGACCTTGTACTGAGAAGAACCGGCAAGAAACTCAGCAAAGGCTGTATTTAACTCCCTGTTTTATTATTTACAGAGTCGTCAAGTTGAAAAATTACTTAATTGTTCATCTGCATTTTGATTGCTGTGTCATACAGTATAAATACAAATAGTGAAATATATTCACGAGACTATCATAAAATAAACTAGAAATATCCACGCAGTCCAGGCATGCGAGTCAGGCGAGACTCGAAATCGCACCCTTCGGGCGGATGCACTGATCAAAATATGCTGCGACCTTAATCGCCGTGTCAAATTTCTTATAGTATTTCTTAGGCAGCAAAGCAGCGACATCTCTTCGCATTGAAGGGAAAACGGAATTTATTCGAGAGGCCTAATGGCGTGCGCTGCGTTAAGCGGGAACACAGTACAGTTACAACGCACAGTTTCATGTTATTTAATAGAGCAGCGCTGCACGAGGCGGGTCTCCCGTCGCAGCGCTGTTCTTTGAAATGATATGAAACTGCACGCGGAGTGGACCGTCCGCTCCGTGCTCCCGATTAACGCAGCGCAGGCCCTAAAGACGATGACTGATTCATCATCGTCATCCATTATTAGAAATAGAGAAAACAAAAAAGTAGAAGTGTATATTTAAATATTTTCTGATATCGAAAAATAAAACCCTTTCTCAAGCGGCAATAAAAAAATTAAAAGAAAAACTATTCTCAACATATACTTCCGGACACATCTATTGGCCCACCTACGATTTTCAGTATTGATGGTCCCTAGCTAAAAATAAATGTTACATTCAGTCACAAGTTGTTGTTAACTTTGCTGTTTTGAAGCTGATTTATTAGCCATCTTTTCATGTTTGTTTGACGACCTCCGTGGCCGAGTGGTTTGTACGCCGGGTTTCATGGCTGTCGCCGACTCGAGAGGTCCCGGGTTCGAATCCCGGTGGGGGCAGATGTTTGTGTGATGACTACGAGCATTTGTACTCCAGTCATGGATGTTTAATATGTATTTACATAAACATACTTATATATGTACAGTATATGTATTCTATCCGTTACCCTAGCATCCCATAACACAAGCCTTATAGTGCTTACTTTGGGGCTAGGATAATAGCTAGGATAAGTGTGTGTATAAAAATAAAAAAAAATAATAATAAAAAATGTGTTTTTGAAATTATTGCTCAACCATAAACATATATTTTTCCTACACTCCGTTGAAACATATAACACTAAGTTGGCCGATAGATGCGTCCGGTGTTTTCACACACAAACGCCACTTACCATACAAAACATAAGAGCAGCCATCAGCAACTCGTTGTTAGTAGTAAGTATGGGAGGGATGCCGTCGCCATTTTGTTTCCATACATTTATTTTTACACACACAAACGACACTTACCATACAAAACATAAGAGCAGCCATCATCAACTCGTTGTTAGTAGTGAGTATGGGAGAGATGCCGTCGCCATTGTCGGCGCCACGGCGCCATTTTGTTTCCATACATTTATTTTTAGACACACAAACGACACTTACGATAAAAACATAAGAGCAGCCATCAATAAGTCGTTTTTAGTAGTGAGTATGTGATTGATGCCGTCGCCGTTGGCAGCGCCATTTTGTTTCCATACACTTATTTTCACAAACACAAACAACACTTACCATACAAGACATAAGAGCAGCCATCAGCAACTCGTTGTTCGTAGTGAGTATGGGAGGGATGCCGTCGCCGTTGTCGGCGCCATTTTGTTTCCGTACGCCTTTGCCGATGATGCCCGCGTGGAAAACGGACGTGTGGCTTTGGGTCAACTGAGTTATTGCTCCCTGAACAATCGATATGTAAGAAAATCATAAGTTTATTTAAAAAACATACGACAAATACTAATCTCATGAAAAGTGCTCTAAAATTGAAACTGTTTACTATCTGAATAGTTCATTATTGTATATTTATAAGTATTTAACCCATTTCCGCAGCTAGATTTGTATTCAAAATAAAATTGATTCAAATAAATCTATTTTTACTATCTATGTACTTTAAGCGGATAATAATTCCATAATAGTAATATTATTTACAAATTTGCGCCGATTTAGGATATTTTGTAAACGATATAAATCAACATTTTTGTATAGGGGTGTAGTTAGTTCACTGTTTATAATTATAACTGTTTGCAGTATATTTATTTAAACAATTTTTAAGTTCTTCAGGTAACTTTAAAATTCACGATGTATATACTCACATGCTTCTGATTCAAATGTATCAAGAGCTCGTCATTAGCCCACTCCCTATTCGAGGTGACAGTGTTGGCGACAACGCTGCGGCTGCCGAAGGCTCTCTCCTCTCTAAACATGGCGGTCTCCAGTAAATCTCTTAGGGCAATAGCCCGAGCCAATTTACTGTGGATGCAAAGCTTGCGCAATAAACGGCAAGCGGTCTGCACGCCGCGCAGTTTGTCCAACATATCTGGGTGATAAATGATATTAAAGTTCATATTAATACTAATTACAGGACTTATTACTGTTTTAACACACAACAACAGGGTATTTGACAGTATCCAAAATAAAGTGCCAATTGTTAGCATCTGTATTTAGAATGAATATTGGCAGTGGTTGCACTATTTTTACAGAAACATTATTTTACTAATAACCTATAATAAATAATGACAGTCGTGTGACGTCCAGACAAATGTTTTCGCGGCAACTTGAAATAGGAGTTTTGATTTACTTTTTTCTTATCTGAAATACACAACAGAATAATGATGTTATGAACTCCATAAACATAAGTAAATAACGTGAGATTGTTTACTAAAACTTGTCAAATACCCTATTAGCCTATCCCCAAGTTGACGATCTCCGTGGCCAAATGGTTTGTATTCTGGGTTTCATGGTGTCGCCGACTCTAGAGGTCCCGGTGGGGGCAGATGTTTGTGTGATGACTACGAGCATTTGTATTCCAGTCATGGATGTTAAATAAATGTATTTCTATATAAATATACTTATAGATGTACAGTATGTGTATTCTATCCGTTACCCTAGTATCGAATAACACAAGCCTTACAGTGCTTACTTTGGGGCTAGGCTGATTAGTGTAAAAAAAAATAAAAAAATAAGCACTGTCAGGCTTGTGTTATGGCCTTATGGGATAGTAACGGATAGAATACATATACTGATACATATATAAGTATCAGTATATTTTATCTAGAAATATATATAACATCCACGACAAACAAAACAAATAATCGTTCATCATACTAACATTTGCATCCACCGGGATTCGAACCTCTGAGTAGGCGACACCTTGAAACCACTCGTATATACCACTCGGTCACAGAGGTCATCAAAAAAAATCTATTAATTATTTGGGAAATTGTATTCATACTACATTCGCTCGCTTTTGAAATAGTAGTCAGATTTTGTTATACCGGTAGGTAGGTAAGAGAGCGACCGTTCAAGAAATATAATGAAAAGCACGTGTACTTGATCTAGATTTACAGTACAGATTATTCCATTACCCTAGGTAATATCTCTTCTCAAATTTGCGACCTAATATACATCCCGGCAAACCTATTGAGCAACGACCAAAGACAAGGAAGTCTATTACAATACAAGGTAGCAATTTTATATACAAAATCGTCTACTGCGCAAATTTATTTGTCTGTGGTTTTGCTCAAAAAATGTTTTCGCCGCCTATAGTAGAGGCTTTAACAACCGTACTCGGAAACTTCAATTTAATTTAATGCTTCATTAAATTACTCATCGTTATTATATTGTTATTGAAATCGAAATAGTGACAGTATCAACAATAGTCAAGCGACCGTAAGAGGATAATATTGATGAGTCTAAAAACAATAGACGAGATAAAAGATTAAGTTTTTTGTTAATACGAACCTTTTTCATGTAAACACCTGAAAAAATATTTAACTGTTGCTTGCACCACTTTCAATATGACTTCCACACTGGGGGGCGGCGCCTTCGTTCCCGACATATCAACTCTATCCAGGACCTAAATAGAATATGTAATTAATCGTCTTTTCTACAAAAATTGCCTATAAACAATTACATTTAAAAAATCAATCCAGCTCGAAGGACCAATACTTATCGGACTTAAAAACTGAAGTGCCGTGTATAATTTGACTTTTACTCTGTTTTGAACATATTAACTTGACGAACTTGGGTAAAATAAGATGCAAAAACTTGATTTAAAATTGATTTGAGCTATATAAATAATAAGAATGCAGATAATTCGTAAATGTAAAAAATAACACTGTCATAATTGCACTTTTTAGTGTAACGGTTCACTGTCAGAAGCTTTTAATTCGGCATTTATTATATGGAAAAGTAGACCAAAATTATAATTAACTATAATATAAAATACTATTCAGGCCATACGACTGTGGAATGTCCTCCACGACTCCATCAGAAGATCTCCAGATAAAGTTATACTTAAAAGGAATGTTCACCCACATCTGTTGCAAAATTTAAGATGAAGTGTCACTTTTTAATCATCATCATGTATATATTTTTATACTATATAATTATTTAAATATTAGTGAATTACGTTAGCCACGACCGGAGGCCTCAAAAAAAACCAATTTTATTTTACTAAAACTAACTTTAATTTCCGATACAAGGAAAATTATTACAATTAAAATATAATCTAATTATTTTAAGTCACGACTCGATCGATGTAAGAATCGAAGTGACGCTCCTCGTCCGGTCACGTAGCCCGCTGCGGTGGAGGCACGAGGCTTGTAGTCAGCAGTTTACGCCAGTTGCGTCAATTGCAGCGACCAATATGCGATCTTTCGCTGAATCAGCTTTTAGGGCCGTGTGCACTGTTTTGTGGGTGACTGCTAACTCGGCGTATTCCCTTCTACGTGGAATCGTAACATCTCCCTCCCGAAGAGCAGCAACTATTTTTGGGAAATTCGCAAAAATGTTGCTGGATGCTGGCGTGCAGGCTTTGCAGGTCCTGGTGTTGCATACATAGAGTCAAGTTTGGGCTGCTCTAATTCGGTCTTCGGATCTGCATCCTTATTCTTGTAGTACGTCGCATACTTTCTGTACAGGATGATAGTAGCGAGCACGAGTACAATCATCAGCACTACATAAAATGGCAATGTAGTGTGGTAAAGTGAGTCTGTAGAAGTCTCATTGAGATGAACTGCAGTTTGAGATGAGATTTTATCTTGAATTGTTCGAAGATCTCTAAGGTTGATTGATGACAGCTTCACAGGAGGCGGTGCAGCGCTATTTGGGGCACCGTAGTCTGAGATGTTCAAAATTTTCATGGGTTGTCCTTCAACTCGATCGTTGGTGTTATAGATAGTTGATTCCTTCGTCCTTATTGAGCATTGAGATGGAATAGTGATGAGGTAACTTCCTTTCAGCATTTGATAGTCGTTACGTTCGCAAATAAGTTGAACTTGCGTGGGACTGGGAAACATGGCGACGTAGTGGCGATCGTCTAGTCTCTGGATGTCTTCCCTCAGGATACGAACGGGTGTTGGTTGGCAGGTATCATCTAGTCGTTGGTGGTAAAGGAGTTCCTGGATGCAGTCTGGATTCGATCTTAGTCGTTGGTGCAATTTCTCATGGCAGAGATACCGAGTGTTGTACTTCGGGCATTCAGCCTCAATGTACACATAAAGATTCTCATGGGTTGCTACTAAAGGATAAGGAGGGATGAGGGCTCGGTTATCCTTATTAGGTGCTATAGGGAGCTTGTAAAGTTGGTAAGTAAGTGGCGATATTATTGGAACTTTAAAAACTATAACTATCTGGTTACCCGAATAAAAGGATCCTGTTTCTATAACATTATAATATTCTCTAAATTCTAAATTTAATAGCTGGTCTTTATTATAATAATTGAGTAAATCTTTTAACATTAGTTTTAACGTATTGATACCTAACATTGAATGATGTGTACTTGCTGTACGTGTAAAAGCAAGGATATTTTCTATTCGCTGTAACTCAAGAGATAAGTCATCAATGTTGTCAGTGATGATACTAAGAAGTTGTGCTAACTTTGCATATTTTATTAGACTGTGCTTAACATACGCATCTGTATCTAAGAGCAAATGTAATGTCTCATTAATTTTAATTTGATTTTGTGCAATACTGGATATAATGTTAGTGTGGTGAGCCATCCATTCTTTGCTAAGACTGATATGACTATTGATTTGAGAACTGATTTTATCCTGGTTATCCTTCAGACTTTTGATAGCATTATTATATTTTATAGCATCAGTATAATCTAAATTTCCAGTTAGAGATTTTATAACCGATCCCATTCCATCTACAAGACCGCGCTTTGCTCGATGGGGTTCTAAACTCTCTAGTTGATGGGATACCTTATTTAATTTAGTTTTTAGATAGTCTATTTGAATTTCAAATAAAATGTGTGTGTCGTTAGGTAACTTATTTTCTAGTTCTATTAATTGACCTCTCACTATACTTATTTTATTATGAATATCGGTTAATTCTATGTATTGCAGGAAGCTATGGGAATGTGTTATTAAGTTCATGGGTCCAAGTCTAAACGGTAAAAGTCCAGGGCCGTCATCCAAACTTTCAAGTCTTATCTCCTCCGCTAGTCCCAGGGTCAAGGTTAGAGTCAGCGTTATCCTGTAACAATTTAGCGCTATTTGGTACACGTTTTAATCTAGATTTTGCTATGGGACCGCGTTTCTTTGAAGTATAAATATGTATAGGTAAGTCGGCTAGTACTTTGTCGTGAGTATAACGTGGGGCTAGTTTTTGTCGGCTTGCTAAAGGATTCGAGATAAAAACTTGTTGCTGAGGCTGATACTCTTGTTCAGGTTCACGTGTTTTGTTATGTCTTTCAATTATGGCAGTACGGTTAGCTAAACTTGAGTCGTTAATAAAGTCGTAAACTGTCTTCATTTGGTCACGGTGAACATTAATGTACTGTTGCATGAGATGTACTGTTAAGTCTATGTCAGTGGGGTCTCTCGGGTCAAGATGTCCATTTATAAGATCATACGGCCTACACTTGGTAAAACTGTGGACTGAACTGTTGTATGCTATTATAGCATAGGGCATGAGGTTAACGGTTGCTTCTTCCTTATTTTGAAGGCGCAATAGCCTAAGGTGTTCTAAAAGGGTGGAGTGGAATCTCTCAATGTTTCCATTATCATTGGGGGCATTCGCAAGGGTTTTGTGGTGGTTGATTTTATGGACTCTAGTGAATTCTGCAAACATTTGATTAGTGAATTCGGTGCCTTGGTCAGTGACGATAGTGAGGGGTAGACCATGATGGGTAGAATATTGTAGTAAGGCTTGAATTACACTTAGCGCAGTACCATCTCTGAGATGGTAGGCTTGACCATACTTTGAGAAGACATCAATCATGGTGATATATTTGTCTCCTTGAACAGTAAAAAGATCCATGTGGACAATTTCAAAGGGTTTACAGGCAGGAGGTACAATATTAAATTGTTGCCTAATAGGGTTTCTATCGTACTTTGCTTGGCCGCAGATAGTGCACTCGTTGATAAACTTAGTAACATTTTCCTTCATTTTGGGCCAGAAATATTTGCGAGATAGGGATAGATAGCATTCGTTGATGCCCCTGTGATTAGTTTTTCCCTCATGATAGTGTCGTATGATGTCCTGTTGACGTAAGTATTCCTTAACGTTTTCCAGCTCAACTTTTGCTATAACCAGGTTCATTGCTGAATTCTTAAATTTGTCTTGTAAGATAGGAACTATTTTGTATATGCCTAATGGGGGTGTAATGAAAAGGGCAGTCTTAACTTTTGGGTTGACGTATTCTTTGATTACGTTTACCACGTCTTCTTCCAGATTAGATTCAGACAGTTGAGCTGAAATACGCGTGTGACTGTCAAAAGGTTTGGTTACTGTCGTTCGTTTTTTTATATCCCCTACAATAGTCAAGCAAAGTTGTCGGTAAAATCTATTCAAAGGGTCGTCGGTAATTGGTACCTCGAGTATGGGATGTTCCTGGTCAGTATGAACTGTGTCAGTTTCAGAATTGTTACGTATAGAGGGAGGAATTTCAGAGGGATTCACAGCCATGGAGTCAGTTTCTTCGTTATGGATTTCTACACGAGATAGGGCGTCGGCATTGGTGTTTGCTTTTCCGGTTTTATAAAGAATGGTATAGTTATACTCGCTTAGTTTCAAACGCCATCTCGTGAGTCTAGAATTTGGCTCTCGCAAATTCATAAGCCACTGTAGGGGTTTATGATCGGTGATTATTTTAAACTTTCGCCCAAACAAGTAAGGCCGAAAGTATTTAGTGGCCCAAACTATAGCTAACAATTCTTTTTCAATTGTGCTATAGTTTATTTCACTTTCGTTAAGGGTCCGAGAGGCATAGGCAATTGGTTTGTCTGTGCCTATGGGCCCTTGTGATAAAACGGCACCGATTGCGAGGTTTGAGGCGTCAGTTGTTAAGTTAAATTCACGGGTGAAATCTGGGTATTGCAATATGGGATCGTTAGTGAGTAACTTTTTACATTTTTCGAAACATGCTACGTATTGCGAATCTAAATTTATTGACTTGTTTTTCTTTAAACACTGAGTTAGGGGCTTAGTAATTTTGGCAAAGTCCGAAATGAATTTACGATAATACCCTAGTAATCCTAAGAACTGTTTGATCTGTTTGGTGGTTTTAGGCAAGGGGTAGTTCTCAATTGCTTTTATTTTATCTGGGTTCGGCTTAATGCCATCCCTACTTATGATGTGTCCAAGATACGCCGTCTCTAACTTCAAGAACTCAGACTTATCCATCTGGATCTTGAAGTTAGATTCCCTCAGTCTTTGGAACACTTTCTCAAGATTCACCATGTGCTCTTGGAGGCTGGTACTGAAAACGATGACGTCATCAAGGTACACAAGGCAAATGACGTTCTGAAGCCCTCTCAAGACATTATCCATCACTCTTTGGAAGGTTGATGGAGAATTCTTGAGACCCATGGGCATCCTCATGAACTCAAAGTGTCCGTGCTCCACGTTGAATGCGGTTTTGTGAATATCATCAGGGTTCATTTGTACCTGATAAAATCCACTAGCCAAGTCCAAGGTCGTGAAGTACTGGCACTTGCCCAGTTTATCAAGGATGTCTGTTATATTGGGGATGGGATACTTATCGTCAATTGTCTTTTCGTTTAGTTTTCTGAAATCGACAACTAAACGCCACTTTTGTCTACCTGATGCGTCAGCTTTCTTAGGAACAATCCAGATGGGAGAGCTCCATGCAGATTCTGAGGGGCGTATTATTCCCTGATCTAGCATTTTTGCAATTTGTTCGCGAACCTCATCACGATGTACAAAAGGATAGCGGTAACTCTTTGTGTAGATGGGCATCTCATCGGTAGTCTTAATTGAGTGTTTTATCTTATTACTGAAAGTTAAGGGTTCACCTTCGAGATAGAATATATCGGAATATTGAGAGCAAAGTTGTATAAGATTCGTTTCCTCTTCAGGATTTAAGTGATCTGTTCTTAGGCGAGAGATAACATCTTTAACACGCGAATTGTTAGTAGTTTCAGAGTTTGCATACTTAACATCAAAAGCTTCGGTGTTAAATAACTCTGCTACTGCTGGGCGATCTAATGAAAATATAAGGTCATTGTTAGTTGGGTTCGTTACTTCTACTATACCGCGACTATCCTTATTATACGTGAGGCATTCGGAAATTATGCAGTTACAAATAGCTTGTTCGTTAACTATTACTTGTCCGTCGGCGGCGTTAATAGGTAATCGTATTAACTTTGATGATTTTGCCGGTATTATATCTTCGTAGAGATTTACGTTCCGCGAGTTATACATTCTAATAGGGTTCGTGGTAGTTCGTGTTGTCAGTAATAGGTCTTTTAAGTCTATGGTCGCTTCCCATTGAGTCAAAAGGTCTAGTCCAATCAGTCCGTCGAAATAGTCATGAAACTTATATACGAAAAATTTTATGTCTGTTTCATCTCTAAACTCAGCAAAAGGAGGAATAGTTATTGAATGATCATTTCTACTGGTTCCATGTATATTAGATACTTCGAAGGGGTCATAATCAAGTTGTATGTGAGGATAATAGTAGCTTACGGCTTCAGGGCTCAGAAAAGATTGATTGGCACCTGTATCTATTAATAATTTAAGAGGCGGATTGGCAATAAGAACATAGGGTAGCTGCCTCTGTGTTTGAAGGTTCAGTTCTATTTTAAGTTTTTTAATTTCCTGTCCTTCCGAAAATCCTGGTCTTCTGACTTAGAGGATGTAGAGGGCTGGTCTTGCTCCTCTACGTGGCTATACCACTCATCAGTTTGTGGTAGTTCCTCAACTTGATATTGGCATTGATTTGGATCATTATATTCATAAACATGGTAAGGCTCAGGCATATTATAGTAAGGGTCAGTGTCATAGTAGTCATTGTAATAGTAATTAGAATAGTCATCGTAAGGGGTACACTCGTTCACATTTACGTCGCGAGTTTTGAAATAATTTGATGGTGGTGGATTACCATGCTTAGTCCAATCGTGCCCAGTTGGGGGTAAAACTCGAGGCGTAAAGTGGCTTACTCCGCTCATAGGCTTAGGAATGTTAGAATTAAAATTGAAATTAGGTCTAGGCGATATTCTAAACATGTTGCTTTGCGGGTTATAGTTATTAGGACGTGCACTGAACATCTGTTGAGTGCGCGTGGGCATACGCATGGGAGGTGGTGGCATGGGTTGTTGGAAGTGAGGTTTCTGCGGAAAATTGTTATTAAAGCGAGGGGGTGAAGCTTGCATGCTTGGGAATTTTACAGGGAAAGAAAACGGTTTCGGAACGGCATAAGCATTTTGCATTGGCATATGTACGGGAGGTCTATAATTAGACGCGTTCTGAACAGTCTTTGGTAAGGCTTCATTACGATTTTGCAAATACATGGTGTTTAACTCTTCTTGTACATATTCCAATGCCTTTTCGATTGTATCAGGACGCATGCACCTTATACGAGAACCTAAAGGTTCCTTAAGTCCGCGTACAAAAGCTTGCATCGTAAGCTTTTTATATAAGTCACGTTTTGCTTCAATTGTTGTAGGTATGGTTTCGTGTAAGGTGACGTACGTCATGATGGTAGAAAAGAGGGTTTGGCATTTATCGTAAAATTCTTGAGGGGTGTTGCTCCCCTGGGTCTGCACAGCTAGGTCATTGTAGAGGGTGGTCTCATCCCTCTGGTCAGTGAAATTATTTACCAGCACATTTCTAATGCCATCCCATGTCTCAGGAATTCCGTTGGAGTTTATTGTCCCAGCTGCGGGTCCCGTTATTTTATTAAGGATACCATTAATAATAAAAAGTTTGCCTATTTCGCCTGACTGGTCACTATAAGTTTCTACAATCTGGTCACATAACCTCACAAATCTCGTAAGCACGTTTGGGTTACCATCAAAATCTGGCACCAGGCGTAAGGCCTTTATAATAACATCAGGATCAGCCATTGTAACTTCGCTTATTGTACTATAGCTAAAACTACTCTCTAAGTCACTATCGATATTCCTATTTCTATCGATAATAGTTCGGGTAACCCTAGTATGCTTTAAAGCCTTAGGGGCCCTATTACTTCTTGGGTGAAAAATCTTGAAAAACTATTATAACTACGGGAAATAAGAAATTTAAGGACTAAAGGGAGAGCAACACTAGAGAAAAATCAGAGGTGTACTCACATAAACATATTATCTCGGTCTTTCTTGAGCTGCTATCAATTTTCGGATACTCCGGCGCAGGCCCGTTCGATATGCAGGATCCCGGTGAGGACTTGAAAGTCTATCGTAACGCGGCGCGAACCCGATTCCGTGATTCCCAATAGGCTACGCGACGACCCGGGAATCCTACCGACTGCGCCAATTACGTTAGCCACGACCGGAGGCCTCAAAAAAAACCAATTTTATTTTACTAAAACTAACTTTAATTTCCGATACAAGGAAAATTATTACAATTAAAATATAATCTAATTATTTTAAGTCACGACTCGATCGATGTAAGAATCGAAGTGACGCTCCTCGTCCGGTCACGTAGCCCGCTGCGGTGGAGGCACGAGGCTTGTAGTCAGCAGTTTACGCCAGTTGCGTCAATTGCAGCGACCAATATGCGATCTTTCGCTGAATCAGCTTTTAGGGCCGTGTGCACTGTTTTGTGGGTGACTGCTAACTCGGCGTATTCCCTTCTACGTGGAATCGTAACAAGTGTGTTATGTTTGTATATAATATATTCTTCTCTGTTAATTTGTACATATTTAGCTTTATACCGCCGTTCGTGTTTTTAATTTTTCCAAAAGATTGACTGGGAGAGAATGCTTTTAGCATTAAGACCGCCATTTGTACCATTGTTTTATATATTGGTCATTAAAGTTTAAAATAAATATATGATAAACATCTACCTCAGCGAGTGCATGACACGTAGGCATCTCATCCAAAGAAGCCATAGTACACTCGGGTCGCACGCGCAGTAACGTCGCGTAGTCTTGCAACGCACCGCCTATTCTGTACAGACTGGCTTCTACAGCGCGACCGATCGGACGTGTCCGTAGATGTCCCACTCGATTGGAGTTCTCCCATCTTAAACAATATCAAATAAACTTAGATTAAAACAAAAAGAGCAGATACGGCACTCGCGGCTCAAAAGCTCCGCTTAAATTATGGTGCATGACCACAATTCACGCTGCATGTGCAATATAACGTGTATTCAGTGTTGTAAAGATAAAACAATGCCTTCAATTCTTTTATAAAGAACGCAAATAGTTCAAAATCAAATATCAAATGCCACGGCAACACTTCTCATTCATAATAGAATAGAATAGAAATAAATTTATTAGCCTTAAACACAGTCATTACATAAATAAAACAAGACAAAAATAGGCCAACTAGGTCCCTGCCTCAGCTTGAATACTACAGCAACACCAGGGCTGCTGCAGCGCTGATAATTCTGGCAGTGTGGTTGATGACACAGATAATAAATAAAACAACAATAATACACCAAAAGAAACAAGCATAACAATAAACACATATCAAAGAGAAAAAAAAATGGAATGGCTGTATGTTTTTACAATCTTAGCCTTACGACAATGCAAAGATTTAGTAAAAAAAAAAAAGAATGACCAATCTGTGGGAGGACAGAGTACAAACTGAACCTCCAAAAAAATAAAAACAGTAATCTTAAACTATAAACACACACAATTCATGTTGCAAAAATAATAATAGTAATTTCGCTGCCGATTTATGCCTGTGTGGGTAAAACTGTACTTCCAGGGCCCAAAAGGTGATACTTGTTTTTTTTTTGTAGAAAAGGTCTTTTTAACAGATTTTTTTTTCTGGCGCTTCGCCGGCCGCTGCCGCGGCACGCTCGCTTTGCTCGCTCGGCTCGCGCGTTATGGTCACAACACTAACCTAACCTAACCTAGTGCGAAGTATCACCACTTGAAAAGAAAAGTAAAAATTTTCAATATTTTTTTCTAAAAAGCTACCAGTGCATAAGTGTGACATTTTTTTAATAATGTGGTTAACAGAAACCTTTTTAACAACAAAAATGAGAAATTACAACCAACAAAACTGTGAAGTTTTTACTTTTGGGCCCTGGAAGTACAGTATATCCCCTGTGTGTAACTAAGAATAGACAGCAAGAGGACATACAACATAGGACAGTATGCAAAAACAGTAAAACAACAATATCATTTTTTTTTTTCTCAAAAATCACGGTTTGTCGTGAATGTTATTTACGTAATCGCCATTTTGTTATCAAGAAAAGGACAACAAAACAGCTCAGCCGTGTGGACTCGCCGTTTCGCTCGCTCTGCCTTGAAGCATACTGCCCTTAGCACGAACCATTATCGAATTCGAATAGTTTGCAAATCCGTAATGTCAATGTCAATTTTATATAGAATCTTGAACAGCAGCGCTATAATGGACATAACGAGAACTTAAAATCAGTACCCTAAGCACCAACCAATACCGAATTCGTAACGTTTGCGAGTCCAAAGTGTCATTGTCAAATGTGTACTGATTCTTAGTTCTTGTTACGGACTTTGTGGCGCTGCTGTTCAAGTTTCCATTCGGTTTTAAAACTATTCAAATTCGAAAACGGTTCGTGCTAGAGGTACAGTACACATATGACAATGACATTTCGCACTCGCAAACTATTCGAATTCGATAATGGTTCTGTCTCACTCGCTCGATTGGATGTTATTTACAGACGTGTAAATAACATCCAATCGAGCGATATTGACGTGGCTCAAGAATTTGCCGGGATGTGTACAATAGCCTTAGATGCATCCTGCCCCTTTAAATACTTTTAATATCGGTTCGGCTAATTTAACAGCTTAATGTTAAAAAGTGCTTTTAACAAAATTTTCTAAAACAATATTATAATTCACCTACCTTAAAAGCTTGATGATATTCAAGCAGTAGTAATGCAGGTAAGTCTTTTGGTCCTTCGGCACTTTGTCCTCGATGAAGCACCTCTTGATTTCCGTATCGGATATCATGGCATCTCTCAGGGCGTACTCCACGCCGGTCTTTATAAAGTTCTGGTGTCGTTCAGTGTCCATGTTAATGTCTGGCGAATCGTTCGGTATGTGCATTGTGATCGTGCCAGATATTATCCGAACTAGGATAGCGAGAGTAGTATCGTTTCGGGAATATTGCAGTAAGTAACTGATTGTGCTCACAAACTCTGATGGTAGATTGTAACCTGGAAATTAGACGAGCATTGAGTTGGTATTAACAGTCATAATTGTGTAAAACTCAATTAGCATTGAAGCGAAACGAGATGAAAGTATTTTTTTTGTGAGAAAGAGGTCGCGCGTCTTAAGGCATGTTCTCGCACATTCTCAAAGAATTCATTTTTGATTCATCATCATCCTATTAATGTCCTCACTGCTGATGGAATAGGGAGATTGGGCCATGACGCACCACGCGGGCCCAGTGCGGATTGGCGGGTTCAAACGACTGCAGATATAGCCGGGACCAACGGCTTAACGTGCCTTCCAAAGCACGGAGGAACACGGGATAGAAGATTTTTGGTCACCCATCCAATCACCGAAAAACCATTTTTGATTAAAGTATTTTATTTTACTTTCCTTTCTTTTATCCACAATTTTCTCACAAATATTTGCTACATTTCTGCTTTTGAGGCAATGAAAATTGAGCCTATCTGTATAACTGCAATTCGAATGTAAGAAGTTCAAGTTTAAGCGTAGTTTTTTTTTCGTAGTGGTATTTTGTTAGTGATTGTTATAGAACTACGAAAGAAGTCCATGATATAAGGAGTACAGGCCATGTTCCAGTCGTTAGTAATGCAATCGAGTACAGATGCAGACGGGACGAACGGCTTAACATTTCAAAACTTTATTTTTTTTCATTTGCGGTTTACTTAGCTGTAACCGTTTACATTATTATTTCTGTATTTTCCAATAAACCAGCATAATATGACTCTAGATCAGCGTTGCCAGCTTTTTGATTTGCCATATCAGGATTTAGGAATTATTAGAGTGAAAAAAGGCGGAATTCTTTCGTCGAAAGCGGGACATAGTAAAAAAGCGTATATATAATCAAAAGTTTTTGAATATTAATCTTTTTATTAGAGTTCAAATTACGTTTACGTGACAATAGATAGGTAAAAAGTAAATAAAATCCATAGAAAATGTATTTAAATAAAAAAATAATATTTTCAATCAGATTACCCTTTCGTTAAAACCCTAATCCCTATCGTCTTTGTTTGAGAGTTCTTCATTACACGTCGGGCAAGGCCCAGTCATACTTGTCTGTATATTAATATTTTTTATTATTTTAAAGCATGTAACTGCTTGATGTTTAAATCTAAAGAAAATATAACTAGAAAAGAAGTTGTCTGTATATTTTTTATTTGTGTGCATATATACTCGACCAGTTATTCCCGAAAAGCGGGATCGAGCCGCTATATTTAATCAAACTTAAATGTCCCGCGCGGGACATTTAAGTTTGATTTAATAATCGGGAAGTCTGGCAACGCTGCTCTAGATATACAATGAGTTAACGCTGCGAGTCTTCTGGGGATCTTCCACGCACAGGCGAACTAAACGAAATATTCAATTAATTTATAATGTACTTTTCAGCAACACTCGTCAATAATGGGATATTCTTTTCGGAAAACAAACTTTCGTATTTCAGTTTATAATATCAAACCAATATTATAATGGCAAAAGTTTGTGTGTGTGGGAGTGTGTTGTTTGTTACTTCTTCACGTTTAAACGGCTGGAGCGATTTTAATAAATTTGGTATGGAATTAGCTGACACCCTGGATTAACACATAGGCTACGCTTTACTGCGAGAAAATATCCCTAATAAACCGCGGGGCAAAGCTAGTAAAGTATAATGAAATTATCAAGAATTTTATATTATAAAAATATTAAACAACTCACTGACTAATATGAGCACCCTGGCAAGCGAATACCGTTCTAGTTGGTTTCCGGTTAGAAGCTTCTCCCGAACTACGCTACTCTCTTCTGCAGCACTCGTCAATAACGGGATATTCTTGTCGGAGAACAAACTTTCGTATTCCAGTTTTTGAAGGAGGTATTCTACAACATAAGAAATGATAATAAGTTATATAAGTAAGGTTGAAATATTAGCTAGCTGGCTAGCTATATTTAATGTATTTTGAATGAATTCAATTACTTTCTAGCATAGTTTGTGCTTTATAGATAATAAGAATAAAAAAAAATGAGTCCCTCTGTTAGAATGTAAGCTTTCTAATGTACAGTGAGGTATTTCCTAAAACAAATTATCGAATAACTTTTTCTTCTTTAAGCACAGCATTAAATTTATAACAGCTGGCACTTAAACTAAATAAAGTATTAATTAAAAATATTCTGAATTAAAGCTACCATCTGGCATTTAGGCGATTATTATATGACATAGGTGGTCTTGAAAGAGATACCTTTTCTTAAGTTTTGAAGAGGAAAAAAAAATAGAAAATAAATTAGGAAAATTGTATATTGCTTAAAAATCTATCTTCCAAGCTATTATTATAAATGCGAAAGGGTCTGTCTGTGTGTCCTCTTTACGCTTAAATCATTAAACCGATTTTGACCAAATTTATAATAGAGATAGTTTGAGTCCCGAGGAAGGAAAAGGGACAGTTTTTACCTCAAAAATCATCCGTTAAGGAGATGCAAAGGGGTTGAATAAGAAAACATTTTTTTCACGCAGACAAAGTCACTGGCACCCTCCAGTTGCTTATGAAATAAACATGCAATTTTTTTATTTGTTTGTTTTCCTACTATCCTGTGTTTGGATTTGATTTTTTTGTACACTATCAGATAAAACTATACCACACACAGAGCACAGACTGTGCATCAGCAGCGCCACCAACGCCGCGGGGCCCACGCCCTCCCACGCGGGCGAGTGCCGCTGGGACGCGCACACGGAGCACAGTCTGTCCATCCCCTCCCATATATACGTTACCGAGCAGCTGGCGGCAGTACAGGTACCGCTGCGCGCACTGCAGCAGCAGCAGCAGGCAGCGCACGTCGGCGCGCATCAGCAGCGGCACCAACGCCGCGGGGCCCACGCCCTCCCACGCGGGCGAGTGCCGCTGGGACGCGCACACGGAGCACAGTCTGTCCATCCCCTCCCATATATACGTTACCGAGCAGCTGGCGGCAGTACAGGTACCGCTGCGCGCACTGCAGCAGCAGCAGCAGGCAGCGCACGTCGGCGCGCATCAGCAGCGGCACCAACGCCGCGGGGCCCACGCCCTCCCACGCGGGCGAGTGCCGCTGGGACGCGCACACGGAGCACAGTCTGTCCATCCCCTCCCATATATACGTTACCGAGCAGCTGGCGGCAGTACAGGTACCGCTGCGCGCACTGCAGCAGCAGCAGCAGGCAGCGCACGTCGGCGCGCATCAGCAGCGCCACCAACGCCGCGGGGCCGACGCCCTCCCACGCGGGCGAGTGCCGCTGGGACGCGCACACGGAGCACAGTCTGTCCATCCCCTCCCATATATACGTTACCGAGCAGCTGGCGGCAGTACAGGTACCGCTGCGCGCACTGCAGCAGCAGCAGCAGGCAGCGCATGTCGGCGCGCATCAGCAGCGGCACCAACGCCGCGGGGCCCACGCCCTCCCACGCGGGCGAGTGCCGCTGGGACGCGCACACGGAGCACAGTCTGTCCATCCCCTCCCATATATACGTTACCGAGCAGCTGGCGGCAGTACAGGTACCGCTGCGCGCACTGCAGCAGCAGCAGCAGGCAGCGCATGTCGGCGCGCATCAGCAGCGGCACCAACGCCGCGGGGCCCACGCCCTCCCACGCGGGCGAGTGCCGCTGGGACGCGCACACGGAGCACAGTCTGTCCATCCCCTCCCATATATACGTTACCGAGCAGCTGGCGGCAGTACAGGTACCGCTGCGCGCACTGCAGCAGCAGCAGCAGGCAGCGCACGTCGGCGCGCATCAGCAGCGCCACCAACGCCGCGGGGCCCACGCCCTCCCACGCGGGCGAGTGCCGCTGGGACGCGCACACGGAGCACAGTCTGTCCATCCCCTCCCATATATACGTTACCGAGCAGCTGGCGGCAGTACAGGTACCGCTGCGCGCACTGCAGCAGCAGCAGCAGGCAGCGCACGTCGGCGCGCATCAGCAGCGGCACCAACGCCGCGGGGCCCACGCCCTCCCACGCGGGCGAGTGCCGCTGGGACGCGCACACGGAGCACAGTCTGTCCATCCCCTCCCATATATACGTTACCGAGCAGCTGGCGGCAGTACAGGTACCGCTGCGCGCACTGCAGCAGCAGCAGCAGGCAGCGCATGTCGGCGCGCATCAGCAGCGGCACCAACGCCGCGGGGCCCACGCCCTCCCACGCGGGCGAGTGCCGCTGGGACGCGCACACGGAGCACAGTCTGTCCATCCCCTCCCATATATACGTTACCGAGCAGCTGGCGGCAGTACAGGTACCGCTGCGCGCACTGCAGCAGCAGCAGCAGGCAGCGCACGTCGGCGCGCATCAGCAGCGCCACCAACGCCGCGGGGCCCACGCCCTCCCACGCGGGCGAGTGCCGCTGGGACGCGCACACGGAGCACAGTCTGTCCATCCCCTCCCATATATACGTTACCGAGCAGCTGGCGGCAGTACAGGTACCGCTGCGCGCACTGCAGCAGCAGCAGCAGGCAGCGCACGTCGGCGCGCATCAGCAGCGCCACCAACGCCGCGGGGCCGACGCCCTCCCACGCGGGCGAGTGCCGCTGGGACGCGCACACGGAGCACAGTCTGTCCATCACCTCCCAACTCACTACGACAAGCAGACAATGTTATAAAACACCATCTTATCCGCGGAAAGTTTTTATTAGTTAATATTATGGTTATACAGAATAAGCTTATGAGTAGGACTTTCAAAAATGTTTCTTTCAAAAACAATATAAAATAAGGTGTTGTCAAGTCAAATTGTAAAATGATTCATCACCTTAATGTCTTAATGTCCTCACTGCTGGGGCAAAGACCTTCACTATGGAGGAGACTGCGCCACCGCGCATATTAGTAGGTGCTAACGACTGCATTTATACATTGATTATTGTTTTAAAAATATTATGTCAGCAGCGAAGAGTCACTGACCGGCGCCAGCGTTAACCTACATTAGTCATAAACATTTGATTTGTTACTAAGTAATATTATAATTTAAGTATATAATACAATCAGCGACAAGCACATCGTGTTTATATTTTTTTTTTCATTTTGGTACTTTTGGGCACTCACAACGTCTATAAAGATTAGGGGAAAACACCGCTCTTTACATGGTCCTTCGAGCCAGATCTAACCAGGACCGTACCTATGAACGTCTGTTATTCATGAAACTTATAACCCCTTAACCCCTTATGAGTTAACGAGGAATAATCTTAGACTAATGACACCGAGTTTTGTTCATTTCATTCAAGTGCTATTTGCGATTCAATGAACAGAGACAAAACTTAGAGTATTTTTAAATGTCTTATTCTTTAGATTTATTAATCTAGCAGTTTAATGCTAAAAATAACACAATAATAAAATTAAGTAAGTACATATATTATTTTGGTACAATGTATCTAAAAAAATCTGAATACTTACATGTGAGTTCAATGTCTTGGGTTAGGGCCTTAAGCACTACATCCGATTTGGACGCCAAATTGAGTAAATAAGGAATCACTTCACGTCTTTTCTCTAGTTTGCTATCGTCTTTGATTGCTTCCTGTAACAAATAATGCTAGTATGACATAATAAATAAAAGTGTAATTTACACCACGGCTAATTGTTTATAAATAAGTTAAATTTTCCGCGGACTAGGCAGCGGACGGGACTCGAACCCGCACCCTTCGCAATCCGGGCGAATGCACTGACCATTATGCTACCACGGCCCTATTCGCCGCGTCGAAATTTTCCTAGCCTTAAGTTGCAAGGCAGCGCCATCTCTTCGCATTGTAGGTAACCCACAATGTCAAATGAATACTTTTTCAAGTATTAAACATCTAGCAGTTAAATGCTTAAAAATAAATAAAATTATAACTATAATTGCTATTTCTTCTTTCAAATGTTTAATACCTACTTGAAAAAGTATTCATTTGACCTTGTGGGTTACCTACAATGCGAAGAGATGGCGCTGCCTTGCAACTTAAGGCTAGGAAAATTTCGACGCGGCGAATAGGGCCGTGGTAGCATTGTAGCAATTAAATTTAATAACGTTAAAAAACTTAGCAATATAATTCTTAAATATTAAGTCGTAGAAATATTATTATTTATTCAGCGCCATCTATCATCATGCATATAAATTATTCAATATCGAAATCCACTTTGAAAAGCAATGGTCAAGTACAATATATGTGTGAACCTAGTAGTTGCATTTGGAATGTGAGTTGGAGGGAGCTAGTGTGTAATTTTTTAAATGAGATGCGGAAATGGATGTGACGTCACATTAATGTTCTGGAAACATTGAAAGGCGGAGTCAGCAAAACCGGTCCGTGTGCTTCCTCATACCAAATATGGTGATATGAGAGAAATTTGCAATGACGCTGTCACGTGTTGTAGTAGCCTATAAATAGCAGTGCACAAACAGATTCGCTCTCTTTTGGCTGATAGAACCTTGAAGACCATACTTAGAAAATAGCATTAAGACTAGCAGTGGTAGTCAGTGCATTATATACTTGTTATTTCTCCCCGGATTAACGGGTAAGTTCAATACATTTGATTCGTTAGGCTGTAGGTCCAGTTAGTTTTTTATTGAATTATAGAAAAATATGTAATTGGTTCTAGGTCCATTAATTTGGCTAATAAATAACAGTAATAGTCACATTTACTTAATCCTGATTGGAATCTCCTTGGAAATATATATATATATGAGCCTGTGAAGCTTCCTTGAGCAAAAAAGTGACGGGTTCACGTGATGACAGCAAGTCCTGCTTCATCCCTGAGGACATTTGAGTGATCCTGATGCTCCCATGATCTTGCCAAGCTAAGTAAAACTTATAACTTCTTGATATTTAACCAGTGCATACTCCGGATAACAGTTTCTGTTTAACGTGATAAAGGATTTCTATTAGTAAACTATAAAGCCATTATAAGTACATAACAAATTTTTATTGTTAGATTTTCAAAATTTAATATTTTATAACTTGTTTAATAATTTGTTTATATAAGAAACTTAAATTGAGTATTACTGTATTAGCAAATGATCTTGAATGTTTGAATAGCTTTAAATCAAAAGAAAAATCTTTGAAGAAATATAACTATGTATTTTTAACTTGAATGTGACTAGTATTAAGTTTTAACCATGATGAAATAAGATCTGAATCTTTTTAACAATATAATATCTTGTTCACTGCTGTTTTAGACATTTTCATTTATCTCCCTCGAATCACAGTATGACGGCGCCCTGATTTTAAATTAAATAAGTTTCGAGTCTCATGTACGCCCTGAAATAGTCGGTGGTAACTAAAATTGTTACAAAATGGCGACCAACTTTAGGGCCGAGCAATAAAATACTGTATTTGAGGGAAATACTGGTGTGCTGATATGATGATAAAAAGGTTGGCGGAAAAATAAATGCTTAAATCCCCAATCAGTCTGAACGGCACACTAGAATTTAACATCTAATCAAAAAAAAATTTAACTTAAAAATCATTAATATTCAGAATTTGTACTAATGTGTTAATATGATGATAAAAAGATTGGTGGAAAAATTTAATGCTTAAAATCCCCAATCAGTCTGAATAGCACATTAGAAGTAAATTACTTAATAACTTAAAAAACTTTAATAAACAATACTTTTGGAACACTAGTGTGTCTAAATGATGATAAAAAAGGTAGGTGGAAACATAGATGCTTAAATCCCCAACCAGTTTGAAAAACACACTAGCATTAATTAACTTAGCACATTAGAAGTAAATTACTTAATAACTTAGAAAACTTTAATAAACACACTAGCATTAATTAACTTAGCACATTAGAATTAATCAACTTATACTACAATAACACCTTCGTATTGATTGGATGCGTAAAAAATTGACCTTGAACAGTGAACAAGATAGTCTTTAAGAATTGAAACTTGTAATAATAAAAGTACCCTCCTTCAAAAAAAAAAATTTTTATAAATTCCTTTGTATTTAACTTTCTTAGATTAAATAACTTGAATAAGTAGCTTGATTTAAAAACTTGATTAAACGTAATTTAATAATTAACTTAATAATTAACTTAGTAACAGAAATAACTGACTTTAACTTGAAAAAATCTGAGAAAATGCTCTCTATACAAAAATATGTAAACTACTTAAGAAAGGATGAAATCATATATGAATTGGATATTCTTGGCATTTCCACAGCTCCTGACACATCGGTGGATGCACTGAGAAAGCAGCTTCGCCAAATTTTCAAGCTGAAGAGACGTGGCAGCATCAAGTGTGCTCCAGTGATCACACCACTCCCGGCAAGCGAGCTCAAGGCATGTACGCCGAAAATTGCTGAGCTCGAGGATCTGCTGTCATCAGGTGACCTCGGAAAGGACAGTAATCTTCACTTACGTGTGTCAGTTAGGGCTAATTATCTAATCGATAGACTTGCTCGATTGGAGGTTGACAATGCTTCTCTTGTGGATTTGCGCCACAGGCTCATACGTATCTTAGCTCAAGTAGAACAGGAAGATGAAAGTAGTTCAGACGAATTAAGTAGTAAAGAGGCAACTCCCGAGTGTGAGAGAACGAGCGAGATGAACGAAAGGAGGAAGGTGTACTTAATTAAAGACAGACGCATTAATTTAAACTCATTTAACTTAAAATATGATGGTTCTACTTGCGTTAGAAATTTTATAGAAAGATTGGAAGAAATTAGACACGCCCGCGAGATTCCGCAATCTCGTATGCTAACGGCATTTTCCGATCTGTTAGAGGACTCTGCTTTAATTTGGTACAGAAGTAATAAAGATAATTTTAACTCATATTCTGACCTATTAATTAACTTGAGAGAAGATTTTGATATTCCTGATTTAGAAATAGATTTAAAAACCAACTTATGACGATTAGTTCTCTATTAAAGTAAATTTAATAAATCTTAAATCTTTAATATATATGCAATTCATAAATTAATTACGATTGATTATTTAATTATCTCTGTTTAGTTTAGTGTCCACCAAGTACCTTGACTTTTATTTAAAAATATATATATTGAGACACTATTAAGAATGTCGTTAGTTAATAATTATTTTGATAAATACTTAAAAATAATCTTAATTCATAACTTTAATTTCCAATGGAACTTTTTAATATTGAACCTAACCTTAACATTTTTGATACCTCCAATTACTTTCCCTAATTACGATATACTTATCTACCGGCATTCTGGATATTGGTAAGGTACTTGTAACTTTTTTTACTTGCAAAAAGTTACAGGAGCTTATTAGTATTTTCCACCAGGTGAGGAAATATTTAATTGTTTCTCACCAAAGGAATGAAGGATGGTTGGTATATAAATATGTGTAATTTCTAAGAAAAGAAATAATATTAACATGTCAATACGGCAAGCCCATATCTAAAATTTTTTTTTACTAGTAGTTGAGATTTATTTGAACCCTTTCCAAACTCAAGGAATAGAAATACTTATTTAATAGTTGTTTCAGATTACTTTAGTAAATATGTCATGTTGCACCCTATACGGTCAGCAACAGGCATGGCTGTAGCAAACTTTATAGAAAAATATGTATTTTTAGTCCATGGCGTTTGTAAAACCATCTTTATAGATAACGGTCCACAATATGTTAGCTCCCATTTTAGACAGCTGTTAACTAAATATAATGTACCAAACATATATTACAATCCTAAGTATCATCCCCAAACGAACCAAGCTGAGCGGGCAAATAGAAACATAGTTCATGCGATAGCCTGTTATGTAAAATCCGAACATAGAAGGTGGGATGAACACTTAATAGAATTGCAATGTGCTTTAAACACGGCTGTGAATGAAGCAACAAAATTTTCACCCTATTTCCTAGTCCATGGTAGAGAGTATATAATAGATGGTAATTTATATTTAAATTCCTTCCCTCCATGTCCGTTAGATCAAATTACCTCAGACAGTACATTGGAGTATGGGAAAAAGTTGCTTGAACTTAATAATATCTTCCAAAAGGTGAGGAAATATTTGATTGTTGCCCACCAACGGAATGAAAAACAATATAACCTCAGAAAAAGACACATTGAATTAAGAGTTGGCCAGATAGTGTATAAACGTACTCATTATTTATCCAATAAGGCAAAGAATTTTTCTTCCAAATTAGCACCAAAATTTATTAAATGTGTAGTGACGGCTAAATTATCACCTTTAGTTTATACTTTAACCGATTTAAATGGTAAATGTTTAGGTAATTATCATATTAAAGATATACTAAAATATTCTGAACAACAGAACTAACAAATCTTTGAATTCCACATAGGATGCTTATTTTAGTCACTTTCAGTATTAAACGGTTGGTTAAGAAGAGTTATGGTATAGGAAGAGTGCATATGGAAATCTGTGGGCTACGGTTCGAAACCTGCCTGTAAATTAAATTGTTTTTCTCTTTTAACTAAATAAATATTTATTTACAACCTTTTTTTTTTAACCTATATGGTCACTTTTAAAAAAAAAATACTTAAATGAAATTTCGAGGAATTTTAATATTTTAACACAAAAAAAAATTTTTTGATAAAATTATTTTCGTCAAGTTGTGTTTACTGATATGCATATGAGTATGAGAGTAGTATGAAATGCGTGATGTATGAAAAGTTTTTTTTTTCCAAAATAAGCACGTGCAATTTATTTTAATACTTAATAGAAAAATAGATCTTGATGTAAGAAAGGCATAAGCATAAGGAAGTAGACATATACTTTAGACTTGATAATTAAAGATAGGAAGATTGTTGGAAAATAATCTTAATCTTTTGAGTTAGAAAACATACAAACTTCTTTAATCTTGAGTTGTTTTCTTAACTACCTTAAGTTCATAAGATGAAAAAAAAGCCATGTTATACCACTGGATATTAGATCCAAGAAAGGTATTTACATGAAACTAAAAGAAAAATCATTAAACAGCAAATATTTAATTGTTGCTATTGACTTAGAGTTTAGAACATTACGTGGAGTAAATAAATGGATACTCACGTATATAAGTTTAAATTGTTTTATCTTGGCTAATACTTAGTATTGTTGATTTGTCTGTAAGTCAGTTGCAGGTTAATTAATTAAAAAAAAAATTTTTTTGGGAAAAATTTTTTGAGATAAGGGGGATGTTGTGTAGCAATTAAATTTAATAACGTTAAAAAACTTAGCAATATAATTCTTAAATATTAAGTCGTAGAAATATTATTATTTATTCAGCGCCATCTATCATCATGCATATAAATTATTCAATATCGAAATCCACTTTGAAAAGCAATGGTCAAGTACAATATATGTGTGAACCTAGTAGTTGCATTTGGAATGTGAGTTGGAGGGAGCTAGTGTGTAATTTTTTAAATGAGATGCGGAAATGGATGTGACGTCACATTAATGTTCTGGAAACATTGAAAGGCGGAGTCAGCAAAACCGGTCCGTGTGCTTCCTCATACCAAATATGGTGATATGAGAGAAATTTGCAATGACGCTGTCACGTGTTGTAGTAGCCTATAAATAGCAGTGCACAAACAGATTCGCTCTCTTTTGGCTGATAGAACCTTGAAGACCATACTTAGAAAATAGCATTAAGACTAGCAGTGGTAGTCAGTGCATTATATACTTGTTATTTCTCCCCGGATTAACGGGTAAGTTCAATACATTTGATTCGTTAGGCTGTAGGTCCAGTTAGTTTTTTATTGAATTATAGAAAAATATGTAATTGGTTCTAGGTCCATTAATTTGGCTAATAAATAACAGTAATAGTCACATTTACTTAATCCTGATTGGAATCTCCTTGGAAATATATATATATATGAGCCTGTGAAGCTTCCTTGAGCAAAAAAGTGACGGGTTCACGTGATGACAGCAAGTCCTGCTTCATCCCTGAGGACATTTGAGTGATCCTGATGCTCCCATGATCTTGCCAAGCTAAGTAAAACTTATAACTTCTTGATATTTAACCAGTGCATACTCCGGATAACAGTTTCTGTTTAACGTGATAAAGGATTTCTATTAGTAAACTATAAAGCCATTATAAGTACATAACAAATTTTTATTGTTAGATTTTCAAAATTTAATATTTTATAACTTGTTTAATAATTTGTTTATATAAGAAACTTAAATTGAGTATTACTGTATTAGCAAATGATCTTGAATGTTTGAATAGCTTTAAATCAAAAGAAAAATCTTTGAAGAAATATAACTATGTATTTTTAACTTGAATGTGACTAGTATTAAGTTTTAACCATGATGAAATAAGATCTGAATCTTTTTAACAATATAATATCTTGTTCACTGCTGTTTTAGACATTTTCATTTATCTCCCTCGAATCACAGTATGACGGCGCCCTGATTTTAAATTAAATAAGTTTCGAGTCTCATGTACGCCCTGAAATAGTCGGTGGTAACTAAAATTGTTACAGCATAATGGTCAGTGCATGCGCCCGGATTGCGAAAGGTGCGGGTTCGAGTCCCATCCGCTGCCTGGTCCACGTGGATTTTTTCTAGTAAACTTTTCTTTAGATTTAAACATCTAGCAGTTAAATGCTTAAAAAAAATAAAAAAAATATATATAAGTTAAATTTTACTATAACTTTAACAGGCCTGGCTTGGATAGTTATTGTCACTGTCAAATTGTGACCGCATTTTGACTATCGTCGAATATTGCAACCTTTTTTTTTGCCAAATCTGTAAATTAGCTGAACAGTCAATGTTACAGTAAGCTAGTGCAACTCATGCTGATTATGATAAAGTTTGTCATCTTTATTACATCTGTTATCCTAGCATCCCATAACACAAGCCTTACTTTGGTGCTACACTAACTAGTGTGTGTGGGAAATATTATACGTATTTATTTCTCACTATCTCAAAATTAAGTTTTCATTATATCAGAACTTCATTTTAGAATGTTGGTTTAAAAAATTCAACAAACTGGAACTCTAATAAACCTGTTACAGCAGCACTTACATGGAACATGTCGACTAGAGCAGCCCGTACATGAGCTAGCGCTAGCGGGTGATTGGCGAGGTGTGCGAAACATGCGAGCGCGGCGTCGACCGGCAGTGCCAACGCTCGGGGCGCCACTAGAGCGGGCTCCGCACGACCTACCCAGACTACTGCCCAGGAATGCTGCCACAAATCTGATGTATGTGCGTTCAAATAAACCTGTTACAGCAGCACTTACATGAAACATATCGACTAGCGCAGCCCGTACATGAGCTAGCGCTAACGGGTGATTGGCGAGGTGTGCGAACACTGCGCGCGCGGCGTCGGCCGGCAGCGCCAAAGCTCGGGGCGCCACTAGAGAGGGCTCCGCGCGACCTACCTAACCTACTGCCCAGGAACACTGCTACGAACCTGATGTACATGCGTTCAAATAAACCTGTTACAGCAGCACTTACATGGAACATATCAACTAGCGCAGCCCGTACATGAGCTAGCGCTAGCGGGTGATTGGCGAGGTGTGCGAACACTGCGCGCGCGGCGTCGGCCGGCAGCGCCAACGCTCGGGGCGCCACTAGAGCGGGCTCCGCGCGACCTACCCAACCTACTGCCCAGGAACACTGCCACGAACCTGATATAAGTGCATTAAAATTTTACATACTTCAGTGATGTTGCAATATCATGGAGCTCGTCAACTTTAACCAAAATATTGGATATGCAAATAAAAAATATACCCACAACTGTAGTTTGTTAGTATGCATACTAATACTATAAATGCGCAAGTGTATGTGTGTCTGTTACCTCTTCACAGTTAAACAGCTCAACTAATTCTTTAATAAAGTTCCAGGAAAGGTCGTAGGATGGTTTTTAGGACAAAACTATCCTACGTCCTTTCCTCTATAACCCACCATTTTCAATAATATTATTATTCTTATTATTTGTGTCTTTGCTAGTTTATTGACTTACATAAAACAATCTATACTTATAATAAATCTGTAGAGTGGTCAATTCTGTACATGAAATATATTTTCAAAATAACTATCAGGGGGTGATTAGTGATCGATACTGATGCCAAAAATGCAATCAGTAAAATTTTTGTCTGTCTGTCTGTCTGTCTGTGTGTATGTTCCTTATAGAAACAAAAACTACTCGACGGATTTTAACGAAACTTGGTACAATTATTCTTCATACTCCTGGGCAGGTTATAGTATACTTTTCATCACGCTACAATCAATAGGAGCAGAGTAGTGAAGGGAAATGTTGGGAAAACGGGAGAAGTTACTCCATTTTTTAAGCTTCCATCGCGTGCGCAGCCTTAATGGTTAAAGTTACATAGAAATCATGTATGACGGAAATATTCTACATAAAATTGTCTAAAAAATATCCTGCAACAGCATATGTCTATCTTTTATGGTTTACTCACAATAATATGTGTAACTCCTGATAGCTTAGCAGTTCGGAGCATTCTGATTATATTTGTTTACTCTTACGTTTATAATACTCTCACTCATCCCTAATTTAAAAAAGTTAACATTATTACCTATTCAATAAAAAAAGAATTATGATTCTTTTAAAAAAGAATTAAATAAATAAATCCAATGTGTACAATACACGCCTGAGAACAAAATCTATAGTCTACACTACAGCTCTACACCGAAGCGAAGCGAGGGCGGGCCACTAGTAAAAAATAAATTATCTAATAAAAATTTGCAATAGAATAGGGTTTTTAACAACTTATAGAAAACAATGTCACATTATTACTAAATAATGTTTAAGGAGTGCATAAAAAGTGGATATTTTTAATTCTCTTGTGTAATTCAGTAAAAAAAAGTAAATTAAAAATTCAATTTTCAAGTTGCCTTGAAAACATTTCTCTATACATTATGGCGTCGCACTAGTGTGTGACGTCACACAACTGTCATTAAAACGTCAAATGATACAATGTAATTTTGGCCGGAAGTATACTATATGACGTCATTTTAATCTTGGCTAATCCCAGGTGTTTTCGGTAGCGAGACCATGGAGCAAAAACATTATTTCTATTTGATGATTTTATAGAAATGTTTTGAATTAATAGTTCTTTCAGAATAGTAAAATCGCTGCTAATTCTCATATTAAATACAGATGCCAACAATTGGTCTATTTTTCTACTGTCAAATAGCCTATTAGTTATTGTTTTATTACTTCAAATATTTAAATAGACACAAAACCATTTATCAGAGTAGCAATGTCTTAGTGTAAATATAACAAACATTTTATAAGTAAATAAAACCAGTTTTTCATGGGTTAATGCACGAAACTTTATTTCGAAACGTTTCGCAGCCTTTAGCTGCATTGTCGGAATCAATTTTTATTTATTTTTGTCGAGCTACCTTCGTAAGACTTTTATTGAGAATAAAGTTACGTGCATTAACCCATGAAAAACTAGTTTTATGTAATGAGTGATGTGCGTGAAAACCTAAGAAACAAATATTTTATAAGAATTTTAAAATATAACAAACAAGGCTCACCTAACATCATGTCGATGCATTTTGCTCTCTCATCTGAATTAAGAAGAGTCAGGTTCTGTGTTGTCATATCTAAGAGTACTCTAACAGGTTCTGTGCTTTGTAGAGTAACATCTAAAACAAACCAAATATAATATAATAAATACACAGCCATACGACATTTATAAAAAAAGTTTTTTTTGTATTTTCCAATATTTAATGTTATTTATTTTATTTATTACAATCACCAACAGTTAACACATTATTTCATTTGAAAATGTAGCCACACAAAATTATATCTAAATGTGTAACTAATAAAAGGTAAGTACATCATTCAATAAATACAAAATAAATAATTTGACACATCTGGACCCGCTCCTTTAGTCCCATCCAAGGTTTTAAATTTATTGACTACTGCCTTTGTCTCAATTTGTAATCCTTTGAAGCAATCACATGTGAACTTCTTTTCGCCTCACTGTGATATGTGTCCTGATCAATAGCATATACTGATCTGAACTGAATAGCAAATAAATTGCATATTTATTTACCATCATAACAAGATGAAATCCCATTAGACAGCTCTCCTAGATATTTCCCTTTACCACCCTGTTTTTGATTAACAAATGACCAAAAGTGTTTGCAACCCTTGCTTATATTTTCTTCAAGAGAATGAATGTAAGTACTATTATGTGATGGAATTTTTTTGCTTCTTTCACTAAGCAATTTCTGTTCCATTATAGCCATTTTTTTATACTGACAACCAATATTATGTTTTTCATTTAATACAACTATACCAAAAAGGTCAAATTTATGACTTGGATACAAGTTCTTTAAACCACTTCCTTATAATTAAATGTTTCAAATTGTAGCTTTAATAAACTTATATAGTATTAGCAGTCGCTGGTGACTTTGTCCGCATTATCTTTTATTTTTTGAGAATCCCACAGAAACTTAACATTTTTCTGCAATAAAAAGGATCCTATGTCTCATTCCAGGTCAAACTATATGCATACCAAATTGCATCCAAACCTGTTCAGTAGTTTTTGCATGACAGTGTAACAAACAAACAAACTTACTTTCGCATTTATAATATTAGTTAGGATGGTAAAGTACATAGGATATTTTAAAAATTCTTTAAGTTGGCGGGGGATATTCTTCACATTGTCACCACTTAATTAATAAGCAATTTTCACACAGATCACTTGCCAATAAAAGTTGTTCTATATTAAATTGACAGCAATGAAATCCTAGATGATAATTCAATATTCGGGCAGGACTAATACTAATAATGTCACCATTATGAGTACTGCAGTAAGGGCAGAAGTTATCTGATATTTTATTCAGTCTTCACAAATAGGGCAGAGTTTTGTGGTGACCAAGCAGTAGACAATTTATTGTGGAAATGAAGTCATATCCAGCAATTTTCAATTCTGCATAATTATATATACATTTTTATTTAAACATTTTCAGTCAAGGCACAAAGCTGAAAAGTAACTTACTTGGTATATTGGATTTCTTAGTAGCAATATCCATTATTAAACTTATGCACCAAGGAGCGATAAAAGGTGCCCATGATGGACCCAAACTGCACAATTCTGGCCCAATCATACTCACACTCTCCAAAGACCCATTTACGTTGATATCAGCCTGCAAAATAAATAATTCAACGAATATATTAAATTTTCATATGAATACGCATGAATACGTAAATACTTTAGAGGTTACATTTGTCTTACTTACCTCGTACTCTGTCTGGTTAAGGGAAACATTGACTGCATCATGAAAAACCATAGCAAAGTACTCCAAAACTGCATCCCGAGCCGCAGGGAAATTTTTAAGTAGATTTATTCCGATTTTTGTCAACTCGGGTGCATTTTGTGAATTTCGTCTTGATACACCATAAATGAAATTATTCAGGTCAGCAGATAAAGATGTTGATTTGCTTTGTGGATTCATAGTGAGAAAATAATGTGAGGGATCTTCGGATTTTCTATGTCATAAATCGAAAACCAAACCAAAACACACCAAAGCAAACAAACCTGCCTGCAATGCAAACATCAAGCAAGCAATGACACAATGACACATGACACTGACAGTGACTGTGAGTGATAAATCAGTGACGTGCGTTGTGCCGGCATATCATTTGGCTGTTCGTGTTTGCTATTTGTAAACTGGATATCGGTTGTCAAGTTTACAAATAACAAAAGTAAAGTGCCGCCGCGCCCTGACGAACGACAATGACATGAATGACAGTGCGGCTAGAACTACTGGTTGCTTTCCAATTACAGCATTATAGCGCATTATGCGGCATAATGCTTAACGTTGAGTGTTCCAACTACAGCAACGCTTCGCACAATTGAGCACTCTCAAAAGTGTTTTTTCTTTAAGTTGGCATTGATCGAAGTGTTTTATTTATATGTTACCGTTAGTAATATTATTTATTGTTGAAAAATTATTAAAGCTTTCGTTTCATTAAATAGTTTTTTTTAAATAATCAAAGTTCATTCAAACTGTTAAAAAATAAATATAAGTATGGATGAAGGTACAAACATTGAATTTTTTTTTTCAACACTGAACTTAGCGCACTCTGCTGGAGCATTTGAAAACTAATTCACGTTCCAATTAAGCATCAGCATAATTGGGCATTGTGCGGCACTGAGTCGCATTATGCTCTGTAATTGGAAAGCATACACTGCCACAACAGTATCGAAAACACAATATCGATAGTGGTGCGATTCTCTAAACTTAAAACTAAATTTAACATCAGTCTCTCCGTTTCATTCTGTATAGAGAATGTAAACTGACTATACAGACAACTATTTTTTTTAGTAACACGACCGATGAATTGTTGTGTTTTGTTTAGATAAGACGTGAATTGATATTGGTTATTGCACTATTCAGGATAGCAAAAGGTGTTGTTTAGATATTTCTTTATTTTTAATGAAATCTATCATTACAAGTAGCAATACCCGAATATCCAACATTAAGATCGGGATGGCTGACTTGGTACATTTTGTACCATATACTCCAAGAAACATTGGAATTTGCAAAACGTCACACCCATATTCTTAAGACGAGGTCGTATAAAGTTAATTTGTTTCGCCTTCCCAAAAAGGAAAATATTACCAAAAAAAACAAAATGTCAATTTGTCAACACCCTAGAGTCGTAAAACTATCGATAATTTGAAAATCGATAATTTCTTATCTGTAAGAATACCAGTTGCGGCTGTAGGAACGAAAAATATATGAATTTTAAGATAATAATAATAATAATAAATAAATAAAAAATAAATATTTTAAACACTCACACCAATTAGCCTAGCCCCAAAGTAAGCACTGTAAGGCTTGTGTTAAGGGATACTAGGTTAACGGATAGAATACATACACTGTACATATAAAGTATATTTATATAGAAATACATATTAAACATCCATGACTGGACATCCATAAAATTTATTACAGCCGACTTCTCTGGTTTTCCTTAAGCCCTAAACATCAACTGTGTTTACATAAATCAGTGTACATAAATTAAATGTTAATATGTATATCATTTTTAAATGATATACATGACACCGCGGATGCGTGACACTTTTTCGTGCGTGCAACCGGTGTTCATCAATTATAACCTCCTTTCCTTTCTGAAGTTGGTTGAAAACGGATATATAAGGTAGAACTTTTCACTACCTACCTTATAAAGGCAGAAACACGGACTCTTTCCGCAAACCGACATTTCGACACCATGTACATTTTACTTGAATTCAGTACCTACCCTAAAAAACCATTAATATGAGTTCTGCCGTCCGTCCGTCTGTCAGTGTCAGCATGTGTCAGTATCTTACACCTTTATAGACTGTGCAGATGAGGGACTTTTGTCCGCAGACGCCAAAGGTCCCTGAATCGTAAAGAACATGTCCACTGAGGACTTGTAACGGAATCAACGCACACGAAAATTTGTCCCCCGAACATTTAGAAAAGCGCATGCTATGGAAGTAAAAGTTGTCACATTAGGTTGTTATAATTAACATGAGGTTTAAGAAAAAAAGAAGGCGTTTTAAAAGAGAATACTGGGAAAAGATGGAATCTTTTTAAATAGCTGTGTACGTTGCTGCGCCTAGTCACATGAATTCTATTTTTTCATGATCTCTCGCGTACCTTCGTCCAGTCCGATCCCTCAGTGTCAATTGTTCAGGGGTCTTTTTGTACGCGAGATTTTAATACCTTGTTTGTGTTACTAGAGGCGATCTATTTTAGCGGTCAAAAAGTCCGCGTAAAACAATCCTTTTTCGTATTTCTATTTGGATTTTGAACTTGATTGTTTTTGCATGGCGCAGGTGTTAGCGCGTTCAGTCTGCGATTATTATTGAATTTGTGATGTGCAACTTTCGCAATGGAACCCATCTATCCGCACTGCGTAACCACCACCACCATCACCACCCATTACTCGTGAGTAATGGGTCACGCAAGACCTTTCTGCCTATTCTATTCAGAGGGGACATTAAGAGGCTGCTGATATAATGACATAAATTCTATTGACGACTATAAAAACAGATAGCTAACAAAAATACGAGGAGCTTGATGGCGCAGGTGGTTAGCGCTTTCGGTCTGCGATCGTGGAAGACAAGTAACTAGTTTCACATTGGATGGGTAACCAAAAATCTTATTATCTCGAGCTCGATAAATTAAATCTCGTTGGTTCGAGGGCTGCATCTGCAGTCGTTAGCACCCACCAATCAGCACTAGGCCGGCGCGATGGCCCAATCTCCTTATTCCACCAACAGTAAAGATTGTGCCCCAGCAGTGGGAATCACACCTACTATCACCAGCAGCCTATTAACCCAATGGAAACATGAAGAGTTTGCTGATGAAAATAAAAAATAGGTACAGTTAAAAGCATAAATGGGATGTTCCCATATTTTTTTGCTGGATCTTTTTCTAATGTTTTTACTTAAATAAGTTTGTATAAGTAGTAGGTACAATGTACAGTACGGAACGGAACCCTTCATGGGAGTCCGACACGCATTTGCTCAATTTATATTCTCAAGCAAATAAGAAGTTACTCCCAAATATTTTTTTAGAAGTTGGTTCTGCACAATTATCTTTGGCAGCTATATGCAAAAAGATTGTTTTCAGAGATTTATTGCAATGCTTTTTTTTATTCGAGAAACAATTGCATTAAAATTACCATTAACTCATTAATTGCGTCTATGATCGATCGCGTCCGCATGTGCAAAACAAAATAGGTAGATAGATCTACATGTCTATAGCACAATAGACATGGTTCCTATTATATAACTTTAGTTATAGAGGGATGAAAATGCGTAGCGTGGGGTCGAACAAAATCAATACGAACTGCGCACGCGATGCGCGCAAGCCCACGCCGAGTGCGCGCGACGCTGGGCCGACGCGCTACGAGAGGGGCTGTAAATATGCGTCTACAAATTGTAGGTAGATTCCTATTTATAGATAAAACTAACAAAACAAAGAAAAAGTATGTATGCACATAGATGACCTCCGGTGGTAAGTAGGTACGCCGTTTTTCAAGGTTTCGCCGACTCGGAATTCTTTGGTTCGAATCCTGGTGCGGCAAACCGGTTGTATGATAAAATGAATAAGAGCATTTTTTTTCTAAGTCATGATTCATGACTGCTCATATTTCTAGTAACAATACTATATTTCTGTCCCATTGTGTGTTTGTGCCCGTTACCCTAGTATCCCAAAACAAATGCCTTACAGTGCAATTTCTTTGTGGCTAGGCTAATTGGTGTGAGTGTTACAAATACTTATTTTACTTAAGTACTTACACAGGCAAGTTATGCTCCGCAAAAAGTATGTAGGTAGATTTTAAAGCAACATGGTTATGCAGTGGTTATGCATGTTGATAGGTATACTTGACAGTGAGTGCTGCAGCCGGAATTATCTTCCATGTATGTAAAAAAAGTGTCGGTGCCACGTTAATACTCTACTAACTAACAAAAATACGTTATCTTGATACTTACCTGTTTCAGTTTTCTTATCTATTTTTGTAAAATACATTATGTAAATGGTTGAAGCCATCGAATTTATAATGAGAAATATTTATTTATCCGAATTGTATCTGCGTTAAAGAATTGATTTCTATACAAACTTTCATTAATGACGACCTCTGTGGCCGAGTGGTTTATACGCCGGGTTTACGCCGTACGTCCCGGGTTCGAATCCCGGTGGCGGCAGATGTTTGTGTGATGAATACGAGCATTTGTACTCCAGTCATGGATGTTTAATATTTATTTCTATATAGAATAAATTCTAAAAAATTCTATCCGCTACCCTGGTATCCCATAACACAAGCCTTACAATGCTTACTTTGGCGCAAAGCTAATTGATGTATGTGTTGGCAATATTTATTATTTATTGACTTATTTTGCGCTCTAAGTTTTACTTTCGGAAAAAAAATAAGTATATAACCTATCTAGCTCTATACCAAAATTCATCATTATCGATTCAGCAGTTTAGGCTAATTGAAAGTTTAAAAACCAAAACAATGATGTTTATACCATAGTAGTACAAAGTACCTACGTAACATTTGATAGTACAAATTTTTAAAATTCGATCAAGGAAAACAAATCGATAAAATAAGTTTTTCATGGATGGAGACCCCTTTTTATTTTGACCCTTTTTTTTGTAATACATCAACACGTTGTCTGTACAAAATCTGATATTTAGCTGTTTTCGTACAAAAGATAGAGCCCTGAAATGCTGTGACAGACCAACTACCGGCTACGGAGCCCCATTAAAGAGTTATTATTTTTACCCTTTGGGTCCGGAACCCTAAATTTATTTACGGGCAGTACAAAAAGTAAAGATAACAGGTACAATACAGTAATAGAATTAACTAACTTTAAATTAATTATCCCTAATTTGGAATGATAAACATCAATGAAAGGAAAAGATGAAGGACCAATCTGATATCTAATTGCTATAGTGGCTTTCTCGCTCGAATTGGAGCGCCCCGCCTGGGAAAATGACCTCCACCTGACCTGATGGAAGACCATAGTGGAATAACACTACCTTTTGGTGGTGTCTCCACGGGGCAGGTTATTAGATTGGGGTGGGCAACCGCACAAGAGATATATTATAATGGTATCGCAAGTCTTTATAGCAATATAAGCGCACATTGAACCACTAGTGGCGGCCACTAAACGCGGCCCCTAGTGGCTCATTCAAGCCACTAAACGCACCCACCGATCGCTGACGCTAGTGGCTTATTGGCGGTCACACGAACGCTTAGGGTCGCCGCACACGGACCACCCGCCACAACCACAGAACGCCGCCACCGGCATATTTCCTATAGTTTTCATACATTTTATATGGAATCGACGCACACGGTTAACACCGGTGACTGCCACACGCCACAATTCGCATTGGCCACTAATGCGCTGATACAAAACGCCGACACACGCCTCTCACGCGATTCCCCACGTACAAACCTTATTCGTCATAGTACATTATGATACTGCACGCATGTGTTAAAAAAGTAGCAGCCACCGACGGAAAGTGTCGACCACCGGCCACAAGTGGCTGTCGTGCGCTTCAGCTATCTTTGTAGCCGCTTCTAGCTTCTCGTGGCGGCAGGCTATCTCGTGTGGCCCGTGTGCGGCGACCCTTAGTTTTACTTACAAAATGTATGATTAAACTCGATCGCAGCTTGTGGAGGCGTTTAGTGGCCGCCGCCACTAGTGGCTCCACAGAACACAGTTCTATGCGCTTGCTCGAGCAGGACCGCTTACCGGCAGGCCTTGTTTGTCAACAATCTAAGCTTCGTTTCGTCATCAATATTTATTCATCTCAAGATTTGTAAGTAGGTATTAAACTGATTGTAAAAAAATATGAATATCCATTCAATAGAAACAGAGAGACAAACAGACGCACTGTGCGACTTTAATTTGTAATATGTAGTGATGTTATTAATATATTATACTCAGGGTTAGACTAAATGCAGATCACTTTAGATATGTTGCATTTGACCTTTTGACACAAAGGATGATGAAGAAGTTTCGAATACACTGTGATGAAGTCATTTTAATACTTTATTAAAATGATTCAATATCTAAGAAGAATACTTACCTGTGAAATAAATTTTCGCGACGTCAATATATATGAGTCATTCCAAACCGAGTCCTTTCCTTTGGGAAAGAATGCTGAAAACTTGGGTTGTAATTCTGTCTGACGTCACGTCCAACTACTGTCAACGACGCAAGGTTCGCGGAGTCCCTTCCACTTCCAAGGGGGTTTCCTACAGACTTTGATTTAAGAGAAATGAAATGAATAACCTGCCCGTCTAGCATGATCACCGAAACGGGATATGATAAAGCGATATATAGACATTAACTGTCAGATTACAGTGGAGTTTGACAGTTGAGATTCGACAAAAAGCTTTATCATATCCCGTTTCGGTGGTCATGCTAGAGGGGCTGGTCATCTTAAATACATGATAAACTAATGGACATACAATTCGTCTTTTTATTTTTTTTGTTGTTCGCGCATAATATGTCATACGTATGTTGACAGATTATTCAACGTTACCTATTAAAAGATATATAACAATAGCTGTGCACAGGCCACACCTACGATTCATTTGGTTACGTTTGCGACCACTAACAAAGTTCAGAGTATATTTTATTTAGAAAATAAATAAACACAAAATATGTAAGTATGTATTTTGTTAAGTAGGTACCTATATTTCTTATTTGTTTCTTGGTTTTCTTATTCTTCTTTGATTTTCAATGTCTAACAATTTAAAATGCATCGTAATGTTTCATTGAGCTTTTTATGTCCGAGGCTTTTTGCAAAAAGACAAAAATATCCTCTGGTATGTGTGTACAGTCAGAGTTAAAATCATGACATTGGATTTCTTGCTAAATCATTAAACTCCTACACTCAGTGAGAAGTACAAATTGTAACCATCGAAGTGACATCGACCGTACTTCTCCGATTTGAAATTGTCTACGACGGACGGACAATTCCCAATATTGATCTACTATAATTATACGTATATACCTACTCACATAAAAGAAGGACTTCCGTTATTCGACCATGTTAGAAAGAAATAATATCATGCAAAGATTTGATAGAGTTTCAGTCATTAATTCGGTTTTTTAATGTTATGTTATGTAGGTATGATCCAGGCGACACGGTATGGGGTACTTACTTATTCGAAGCCCCTACCGTTTGTATACGATATTTAATATCGTTGTTTTCAGGCAACAATGCTCGCCCAACTACGTTAGTAGTAATGATATTGACATTAATTATTTGTAAGTAAACGCATTTATAACTTTTTCGTTGATAGATAAAAAATATTAAAACATATTTTAATTCACATGCATTGCTGCTTGCAAAATTATAAAACAATAATAGGTACAATTAGGTTTTCATAAAAGAAGCGTGGTTTGTCTGTCACCTACAAGTAACCAAGTTACATCTTTTACCATGGTACGGAATTCTGCGTATGCGAGTTGGACTCGAACAATATTTTTTAGCATTTTTCAGTAAATATTAAAATATTTTATTTATAAAAATAAATAGTTTTCTTTACTTAGTTTCAAATTCTTTATGTGACAAATATTCATCGCAAACCAAATTAGTTCAAAATAGAAGTCATTGCCGCCTACCTCAAGAGTTATTGTCATGCATATGCAGATTCATAATTATAATGCCCTCAGAATACTATACTCAATGTAATGATAACCAATGCTTTGTTGCCGAGGCGTTACAAACATATCTGTATGTTTACAATATCAAGCATTTGCAAAGGAAATTCACCGTATTGCGCGTGAACAGGGTGGTGCTGCGGCAGGGCGGGCGCCGGCCCAGCCAGAGAGCGCCCCTCACGACGGACGACGCGAGCGACGGCGCAGGCGCGCTCTCCGGCGTGGATCGATCAGATAAACGCGCAACCCCGCTTTTCGAGTTAAATCAATACGGATTCTATCGATTTTTGTAGCCGCAGCCGCCGCACACCCAACTCGAGGGTCGCAAGCGGTGGTTGCGCGCACTACTTCAATACTAAGCAGTCAATTTAGATTAGAATAGAACATCTTAATTTTTACCGAATTTTTTTTAAACAAGAATACCAACCGGAAACTCTCTACGAGTAACTTAGTAAAAAATGTTCGCGAGTGATCGAGGTAATTATTTATAACAATGAAAGTATTGCATCATTTAAAATTAATTTAGTTTTTCTAATTTTATAAATTTTTAATTATTATTATTTAATTCTAAAGTACCTGAATAGAAAGTTCTTTGTTGCAGTGATTGATAAGTAAATTTTTTTTTAAACTTTCTGGTGCATGTGCGTTTTGTTTCTTTAACTTGAGTCCTATCACAGAGTCCTATCTACAGAAGTGAATTATTGTATTATTCTTGTTTTTTTATCCAATCTATATTTTGTTAAATAAAAGCACTTGCTTAAACTATTTTTTTTATGAAAAGTCTACAACTCACATTAAACCTAAAAGTTTCAGTGAAATTAATAGTGCCGCGAGCGCGAGTTATCGTTATCTATGACGCTTTTTGAAAATGGTTTTGTAAACAAAACAAAACTAACAAGCAGACAGTGAGGTTATAAAATTGTTTTATTTGTTTTTAGACAGAAATAGTTAGTGAAAATGACGAGAACATTGTGAATTGGCAATAATGACGTCTACTGACACGTACCAGTTGAAATGGCATTCGCACAGCTCTCATTTGAACGGGTCGGTGGCTGCTTTGTTGCGGTCAGAGAGGTTCACGGATGTCGTGCTGTGTACGATGGACGGGTCTCAGATACCGGCGCACAAGTTCATCCTGAGCTCGTGCAGTGTGTACCTGAGCAGCCTGTTCGAGGGCCAGCGCTCAGTCACACGTATGGGCGGCATGCTGTACGTTGTTCTGCCATCCGAAATCTCGACGAAGGCATTGAAAATCCTCGTAGAGTATATGTACAAAGGTAAATTATTTGATCTTTAGAAGTTAACGCATTAGTTTTGGTCAAAAATCTTTGATAAGAAACTAAATATTAGGGCACACTTTGATGTAACAACGTCGAATGATTTTTTCAGGAGAAACAACAGTTTCAAACGAAGTATTAGATACAGTTTTAAAAGCAGGGGAAGTTTTAAAGATCCGCGGTCTATGGAGACAAACTGACGAGGCTGGTGGAGACTCTACTCCTGCTGAGAAGAGCAATGCACCAGCTGCGGTGCCTACTATAAAAACATTAGTCACTAAGAAACCTGAAGATATCCAGTCAAAGTTAACCGCTAAGAAAGATGATAAAGTGCTCAAAACATTTAGTCCTGTCCAATCTCAGGGAGTCACAAGGTATACACCCCAGCAATCTATTTGAGTAACGACCATAGACAAGGAAGCCTTTGCAGTAGTCATTTTACATAGAAATACTTGTATGGCACAATTTTATTTGTCAGTGGTTTTGCTCAAGGAGTTTTCCGCTACCTACAACTTTAATTTAAATTGATTATTGAAATTATTATTAATGCAAAATAAATTTGCATTGTGAAAAATTATATTGTAGAACATGATAATTAACATTACACAGATTAGTCATTTGTTTTATTTAAATAAAAATTAAAAATACTTAACCTAATAATTAACCTCTAATTTTTATAATATTCCAAACCTTTTAGATTCTAAATGATGTAGAAAAATAATTTTCCGTAAAAAAGTTAACTGTTATTCTATTATCATATAATATCTTGCATTTATTTATTGCAGGCCAATGTTCATTGGTCCACCCAAATTGGTGTTCATCAAGACCACAGAAGGTGGAACTCAAGCAACTCTGCGGCCAGGAGGTCCAAAGGGTCAAACCATACTGGTTGCACCAGCACCAACAGCGACTGCAACGCAAGCAGATTCATCAGCCATAGCAACTATTGCAACTCCACCGACCTCCACAGTCTCCATAACAACAACTACCATCGATGACTCCCCAGATGAAGCTCCCCCTCCAAGAATTCTAAGACGACATGCAACTGAAAGAAAATATGGAAAGAAACCAAAAACTACATCTACAGATATTGAAGAGTCCAAAGATGATGACAATGCATCTGTAACTTCAAGTATGTTGTTTAAAGATCAGTTTAAATCTACAGTAGTTTAGTTACAGTGCAACTTCAATATAACAAATCATTAATGGATATTATATTTAAAAATAGGAATTCTTTAAACTGAGGTTTGTTATATTATTATATATATAATTTGTTATAAGGAGGTTGTTCGCAATGTAAAGGTATATTTTACATTGAGGATTATGGAAAATTCAAGGGGATTACAAAAAAATTGTTAAATCAAGGAAGTTGTCATATTGAAGTACTTTATATTAAGGGGGCACTGTATTAAAATAATTGGAGAATTAATTTTTTTTTTAAACTTTACAGAGAAATCTTCACAAAGTACTGCAGAAGTGATAAATGACATCCAAATAAAAGATGAGCCAGAATGGGATGCCAGCAGCATAGAGGAAGAGGAAAGATCAATAGCAGAAATGTTTCAGGCAGAAATGAGTGTCAAAACTGAACCCCTAGATGAAATGGATATTGAAGAAGAAAGTTTGGTGTGTAATTTTATTATTTCTACAATTTCAAAAGTTGACTATACTTTACAGCTGTGTAAAAATTTACTTATAAAGTTTATCTTTATTTTGGAGATACTTGGTTGCAAAGTTAGAAACAAAAGAAAATTGATAGACACTGTTTAGTTTTCCCTCTTATCTGGCAGAATTTTGTTGCTCCGAAATTAATTTGGTATACACACATGGCATAATCTTTTTTAAAAAAATAGTTGTAAGGCATTTTGAAGTGAATTTCTTTTTGGACGGGGTCTAGATGGAAAAAATCCAATGGAAAAGATGAAATGGAAATGTGTAACGAGCATGACACAACTATATATATATATATATATATATATATGCGTGTGAGGGTGTTTGGTGCGTACACAGCTCTTCCTGACTAGCATGAAAGTTGGAGGGTAACTCAGCGAAGGCTTAAACGCTACGAGCGTCACATGCGACAATTTATATATAAATTTATAGATGCAGTGGTGGTCATATAATTAGGAACACTTCTAGCAAAAACAATATTTTAAAATTCCAATGTTCATATTGGCTATACTGTCATTTAATATCTTTAGAAGACTAACATTATCGAAAAAGAAATTAGGAAATATATTAAATGACTACTGTTTAATTTACTGTCATTTAAACAAATATTGTTTTCATAGCAACAGGTGGCCAAATAATAAAGAATGAGAGAAAACTTATTAATAATATCAACAATAATTTAATAATCCAACTATAACTAATAATTAATATAATGTTGTACAATTGAAATTAATTAAAAAAAAACTTTTTTGAAAATAAATTATGTAATTTAATAGTTATTGGCCTTGGCTGATAACTGCATCACAGCAGCGGGACATCTACGCTATCAACTTTTGGCAGGTTTCAACTGAAATAAAATTCCACTTTTCCAAAAACGAGTCGTACAGCTCATTAATGTTACCACACCATCTGTTTGATAGTTTTTTACTTGGTACCAAAGATGTTATCAACTTAATGTCTGGGCTGTTCGATGGCTACTCTAATACAGTCACCAGTTGACTGTCTAGGTATCTTTTTACAGACGATTTATCTCGGTCAGTTCCGAAATTTTAGAGAAGACGTTAGGGCTTCACCGTTTATGATTGCATCTAGTGAATTGAGGCGCTTCGATCGACGAGGGATTCACAACATTTGTACATTGCTGTAAAAAAAAACATGAGATTACCTACACGGAAAATGAAGCTCTCATTTTGGAGAGGAGAAAAGAATTTGAATCAAATCTGGATATTGCGAAAACAATTGAGATTTGTCGAGAATTATGCCGAGCAAAACAATTAGAACTCAAATGACGATCTTGTAGATAACTTGGTAGGCAGGGTCCCAGAAGCTGATCTATTTGAACAGAGGTATAATAATCCCGATTCCCATGACAATGCCGATCTTTGTGCCGCGATGTTGAGTAAACTTGGTGCCATCGCCAAGAAAAGAGAAAATATCATGACCCCCAATGAATTTACTGAGTTAACGCGATCAACTAATGAAAACTAGAGTGAATTTCTCTTTCATGTTATTCATCATATTACATCGTCGAATTCTCTACCACTGCAAATTTTCTTCACTGGGCCTGATGGGTGCGGGAAAACTATATTATTTTAGTACTAACTAAATTTATGACAGATTCGGTAATAATGATGGATATTTTAGCGCATATGTAGCATGTGCATCAACCGGAAAGGCTACCATTGTCATTGATGGCACAACTGTACAGACAGCATTAAAGATTTCTCTTTCTCGACTACTTCCATTGCAGAATGAGACAGTCCAACAAATTATATCTCTATTTAAACATGTAAAGGTTCTGATTATTGATAAAATCAGCATGATTAGCGCTGAATTGTTGTCTCAAGTCGATAATAATCGGTTAAAACAGATAACTGGAATATTTTGATTCGAATTTTGGTGGCCTAGAAATCATAATAATTGGAGGTCTTCGCCAATTACTACCGGTCCGCGCTACTCCAATATACAAGCAGCCAAACAATGAATGGTCGGCCCCATATTGTGGCGACAACTGAATTTTTATGAGTTGACAGAAGTGTTGCGTCTTGCAAATATTGAAATTTCATCGTTGCGCACAAAAATTGGTGATGGCTCGATATTCATAATCAAAATCATTAATTTATTCAGTTTTGGCTGTTACAAGCACTCATGAATGTTTAGAAGCTACGCCATCAGAAATCTACGGCGGGAGACCTTGTACTGAGAAACGGCAAGAAACTCTGCTAGGGCTGCCTTTTTGCTTTTTTCTGCCTGTTTTATTATTTACTTGTGGACTAACACTCTGTAAATGATTTTCACAACGTTATTGTATTGATAAACGCGATTTTGTGAACATAAAATTAATTAATTTCCTAAGTAAACCCTTCTCCTGATCTTAGCACCATTAGCGAAATATGAATAAAATTATTATGATTATTTTTGGGAATGCGAAAAAAATCCTTAAATATCCATAAAAATCACGTTTAGTGTAGGTTATTTATGAAAAGAAGTTTCACTTCAGATTTATGGTCCATGCACACTTTTTTTTTAATATTATCAAGGGGGTGCAAATTCTAAGTCGTCAGGGGCCTCCATACCACGAAATGCAGTCCTAGGAAGGCCTGTGCTCCTGATGTCTAATGATGAAACCCAAACATTACCTATGTTATGCAACTATGGAATTTTTGTCATACAGATCTATAGCCCATTAGCCTGCGAGCTTTGCGCCGAAGTGTTTACGGTCCCCGCGGCTTGGGTGAGACACGTTCAAGGCCATGCTTCCGACCAACCGCACTCCAGGAAGAGGAAACAACGATCAGCTGTAAGTGAACACAGTATACTTGTAAATAAACAGTTTTAAACTGTTTTCATAGGATTTTTCAGTATCAAACCAGGGATTTTGGGTTTAAGTGTTAATTAATTATACATACTACTCAGAATCGTCAAAAAAATATAATGTAATTTAAAATCATATATTTTGTCTTACTTTATTGTTATAGCAAGGAAATTGTCAGCAATAACTTTAACTAAATGTAACTTTGAAGTTTTTTGACTCGACATTTCTGACTAATGCAGATTCTGCGATTTAAATTTAATGGTAGCGCGGAGTTTCACCATAGACATAGAGAATGATCCGAGCATTTCCTGTCCAAATGTAAAAAAAAACTTGGCATATCCCAAGTTATGCCAATTAAAATAAATACGAATATCGTATATCTGTAACTTTGAAGTTTTTTGACTCGACATTTCTGACTAATGCAGATTCTGCGATTTAAATTTAATGGCAGCGCGGAGTTTCACCATAGACATAGAGAATGATCTGAGCATTTCCTGTCCAAATGTAAAAAAAACTTGGCATATCCCAAGTTATGCCAATTTATATAAATTTAACAAACGAAGCGATTTTGCCGCCAATAGTCCGTATATCTTAGGGCTGCATCATCAGTTTCATTCTTTTGAGAAGGTTTACTTTTCCAGAAGTTAAACTTTCATGCGAGTGTCGTTTAGTATATTCGCTCTGTCTACGGTGGGAACATGAATAAACATAATGAGTTATGATTTTATATTGGTTTCTCTAATAGAGTGACGATACAGAAGAAACTATGGCGCTGTTACGATGCGACCTGTGTCAAAAGCACTTCCCCAACCCGGCCGAATGGGTGCGTCACATACAAAGCACGCACACAGAGTCAGGTTAGTGTTGACTACTATAGATATTATTATTCTAAAACCTACGAATATAGTCGATTTTAAACTAGCCTTCGACTTCTTTTTACTTTGAATTAATTTATTTTCTTATTGTAAGCTCATTTGAATCGTTAACTCTAAACGGTGGGTGGCGCCACTTGACCTCTTCATGATTATATCCATCACTCCTACAGTCATACTTGACACATATCCACTTCATAATAATTTCGGGAAAACTGCAATTTTATGTTCCTTTTTTAAAAAATCTTTTGATAAATGTACTTTAGGTAGGTTGCCAGATTGAGAAGTCAAAATATCTGGATAACATTTTAAAATGTCGGGATTTTGGAATTTTTTTCGAGAGACTTATTAACCCCCACCTCCCCTCCCCCTAACAAACGTCTCACGTCCTACTTAAGCCAGACGCAGACGGGGCACAGGGTAAACGTAAAGTGCATCGTCTTTCGTTTGTCGGGAGTCTGGAGATCACATAAGATCACAAAGAATCCAAACGATTCCCGACCATATGGCAACCCTAGTACGCTAACCTGTAGGTATATAAAGCGCGACCTTGAGCGAGTGATGAATACCTGCCCTCGTACTCTCGCAAAACAATACAAATACAATGTAGTTCAGTGCATTTAAATGTAGGCGAAAAACACCATGGATGACACCACTGAATACTAATAGATTGTACGTACAATCGGTACCCAGTGTACAGGATTTTATACTCTGTGTTACCGTTAAATACACTTTCAATGCACATATTTCTTCAAAGGATAAGGTCTGTGATCTCGCAATACTTAAAGCCTCCTCTGGCTTCACATATTTAATAGTAAAAGTTTTGAAAGTGTTCTTTTAAAAAGTTCCGTGTTAATAAGGAATTCTTATAGTTTCGCTATGTCCTCTCGTCCGCAGTTTAGATTAGAGACTATTAGTACTGAAAACTTATTTGGCATGGATGGATACCATATAAGCCACGCTGAAAAAGTGGTGAAATTAAATCTTAAAAAAGGTTTTAGGTTAGGTATTCAAGTCTCCTAGAACTAATGCGGATGGATGGACGGACGGAAAGTTGTTGATTTTAATTGAACTGGTAATGCTTTTTTTCTCTGTAAATAAATTTAGTTAAAATTGTTACGTTTTTCGCCCGTTCTTGTCATAAAAGATTTCCTGAACTGGTTGACAGGAAAAATCATTTAAGGACGATTCAAAAGAGCTTTTAATAAGTTAATTTGGATATAAATAATTTTCATTACATTTCATTGAATATTTGTGAAAGCCTTTGTGTCAAGGACGACGCGACCACAGCTCAGAAGAAGCTCACACGACTGGCCGACTACCGTTCCGACCTAGCGCGAACTGCGAGCAACCGACGACGCAACTACGGCGGGGCGCGGGGGGAAACGCACGGGATAGGTCAACTACCGCTCTGACTTAGCGCTAACTGCGTACTCATAATCTTAGATATAAGTAGGGTCATTTTGTCATTTTTAAAATAAAAAAAAAAAAAAAAAAAAAAAAAAAAAAATGCAGGTGGGGAAACCCCATACATGAATGCTGTTAACCCCAACTAACGCTAACAACCTAACTCAACACCAAGATTAACCCTATCTTGTTCCTCGATAAGCCCACCGTCTGCCCGCTGGCCGCTCACTGGGCCTCCCTCATGGGTCCCACCCGGTGGGCTAGACCGCGCGACGGTGGCGAAAAACTCAAGAGCAAGACGGACCCCAGAGACCGCTTCGTCTGAAACGAAGCGCGAAACCGCCACATCTGCAAAGGAAACATCCTCATCAGACTCCCCGCACGCCGCGGCGCCTCCGGCGCCGGCGACGCGCGAGACGAAGATACGAGTCATTTTTTCATGCGATCCAGAACAGCAAAAATTGTAATAAATAAGAAGAAAAATAAACTACCAAGGAAGAAAAAATCGAGTTTCAATCAAAAAGCATCATACAGTCCACAACAAGCTGCTGGTCACATCGAGCCGAATCTGAAGAACGCCGGAATTTGAAGAACGCCGAGACGCCGGAATCTGAAGAACGCCGGAATTTGAAGAACGCCGAAACGCCGGAATTTGAAGAATAAAATATTGAAGATGGTCAAGACACGCTCCCAGGAAGCCACGCCGCCTGCGCAGACCGTTTTTACGGAGCCACCACGCTCACCGTCGGGAGGAGGCACAACCCAAGAACGGGAAGACTTGTCGACCAGGCTGAGGACAAACGTCCACATGGACGGTAGTAACGTCATAGGGGCCGGGGGGGGCACCCTGCCGGGTACCGCATTTCACACCCCCGCGCACCCCGCTCACGTCGAAGCATCACGTGACCCGTCACCGGCGCGATCAAGAAGATCGACAAGTAGCGCCGTGGCAAGAATACGAAACGCACAACTGCAAGCGGAAGAGCGACTGGCCGAAATAAGGAAGAAGGAATTGGCGATCGAATCGGAACTTATTAAGAAGAGACTAGCTGCCGACATTGAAGAAATTCGTGAAGAGGAAGCTGAAGCGGAAGGATCATGCATCGAGAATACGAACGAACGAGTTGACGACTGGCTGCGACTGCACACGACGATGCCCTCCGAGGTGCGGGGGGAGTCAACCACTCCGGGATTCACGGCGCCCATGAACGACGGGCCCACCCCTGCGCACGAACTGCGCACCCCGCGGACGATGCGGGGGGGAGCGACCGACCGGTGCAGTACACTTCGAAGAAACTCCTGCACGCAAAGCAAGATCACCGACGCCGACGCGACACAGAAGGGGCATCGAGCAACTGGCAGAAGCGTTCGAGAAGATGATACGGGTGCGCCCCGCGCCCCGGCAGATCACCGAGCTGCCTACTTTCTCCGGCGCCGTCAACGAGTGGCTACCCTTCAAGGCTGCGATGGTCGAGTCGACTGCTACCTACGGATTCACGCCCACAGAGAACATGGCCCGTCTACGCAACTGCCTACGGGGGGAGGCCCGTGAAGCCACATCCGGACTCCTGAGCACCGCCGGCAGCCCTGAGCAAGTGATGCGTACCTTGGAGCAATGCTTCGGAAGACCGGAGTTCATCATAGACAAGACCATGGAAGAGCTGCGCCGCCTGCCAAGACTGGGGAGCACCGCCAACGAGCTGAACGCCTTCGCAGTGAAGCTTCAGAACATCGTCTGTATGCTGCAGATCATGGATCGTCAAGACTACCTACACTACCCGATGCTGGCCAGGGAGGTGCTGGAGAAGCTAAGCCCCTACCTGCGCGCCCGGTGGTGTGACTACGCTCAACAGAACGTGAAGCCCCACGAGCCACAGATCAAGCTACTGTCGAAGTTCCTGATGGATGAAGCGGACCTGGCGATGCGGTTTACCTATACCGCACAGCCAGCAACAACGTCAAAGACTGCGAAGCCACCAGCCACTACCCCAGCGAGCGCCACGAAGAGGAAGGCGACCATATACGCCACCACCACAGACGCCGCGCCACCATCACCGAAGTCTACGAAGACCGATGAACAGCAAGAACGGAAGTACGAATGCGCCGCATGCAACGAGAACCACACGTTGCCGAACTGCAAGAAGTTCAAAGAAGCCAGCACCGACGAACGATGGAAGATCGTCAAGGAGGAGGGCATTTGCTTCAAATGTCTCGAGAAACGCCATCGACGCCAGAGCTGCAACAAGAGGGCCTGCGGTTTGAACGGATGCCGCCGTCCTCACCACCGACTGCTCCACACCGAACCCGTGGAAGAAGCGAAGAGTGCAAGCAACGAGACCGTATCAGTCGCCACTGTCGCCGGCAAGGATAGAAGCGTGGTACTGCTGAAGGTGGTTCCAGTCACCGTCGGGGGCCCACAAGGGGAGGCCAACACCTACGCACTACTCGATGAGGGCTCAACCGTGTCACTCATGGAAGACGACCTGGCGCAGAAGTTGGGCATCGAGGGGCCAGCGCGACCACTGCACATACGTGGCGTAGCATCCACCAGCCAAGAAGCCACCAGCAAGCTCGTCGAAGCAACGGTGAAGGGCAAGAGTGACGACACCACGCACCACGTGAAGCTACGCACCATCAGGGAACTGGTGCTCCACCACCAGTCCGTTCCAGCAAGCGTCCTGAAGCACACACACCTGCAAGGGCTGAAAGAAGCCGACGTCTGCTACGGGACAGCGAGGCCGCAACTACTGATAGGCGCCGACAACTGGCACCTCATCGTGTCACGCCAACTCAAGATGGGACGAAGAAACGAACCAGCCGCTTCGCTCACCGGGCTCGGATGGACGATCCACGGCACCGTACCACGCACGCTGTACGCAAAGGACGCCGAATCGATCCTGCACGTCTTCACGCCAGACTGCAACAGCAATGACCGCATAGAGAGGCTGGTAGAAGAGCACTTCAAGATCGACGCGCTTGGAGTATCCCTGAAAGAGAAGACCGAAGACACGGACCAACGCGCCATCCAAGTCTTCAACGCAACGGCCAGGCGAATCGGCAGACGCTTCGAAGTAGGACTACCTTGGCGTAAGGAAGAAGTCACCACGCCGCCCAGCTACAACGCCGCTCTGCGAAGACTAAAGAACGTCGAGAGGAGGTGTGAACGAGAACCCCACTTTGCGTCGCGATACAAACAAGAAGTCGAGGCGCTACTGCAGAAGGGCTACGCACAGCCATGCGACGGCACCGAGGAAGAGAGCCCGCGGAAGTGGTACTTGCCGCACTTTCCGGTTTTCAACCCAAACAAACCGGAGAAATTGCGCCTGGTCTTCGACGCCGCCGCCAAGTCACACGGAGTCTGCCTGAACGACCTACTGCTGGAGGGACCGGACCTGCTACAGTCACTGCAGGGGATCATGTTCCGGTTCAGAGAGGGCCCAGTGGCAGTGACCGCTGACATACAGGAAATGTTCCTGCGCATCGCGATAAGAAAGGAAGACCAGCCGGCCCAAATGTTCCTGTGGAGAGAAAAGCAAGATCAACCACCGCAAAAGTACAAGATGACGGCCCTGATCTTC